AGCTATCCTATTTGCAGACAAAGTGGATTTCTAACCAAGACTAAGAGAGACAAAGAAGGTCACTACATCCTTGTAAAGGGAAAAATCCAAGAGGAAGAGATGACAATCATAAATACGTGCACCAAATACTAGTCCACCTAACTATATAAAACAAATACTAATGAACATGAAAAATCAAATAAGCATTAATACTGTAGTGACCTTCTTGTCTCTTTTGGTCACTCTTGGCTTGAAATCCACTTTGTCTGCAAATAGAATAGCTACCTCTGCTTTTTTCAGAGGTTCCGTTACATGGAGTATTGTTTTCTGTCCTTTGACTTTCAGTCTATGAGTTTCTTTTGCAGTTAAATATATTTCTTTTATGGAATATATTGATAGATCTTGTTTCTTAATCCATTCTGCCAATCTCTTTCTTTTGATTGTTATATTGAGACCATTCACATTGATGGTTGTAACTGATAGGTACTGACTTATCCTGGTCATGTTAATTTCCTGTTGTTGGTTACCTTTCTTTCTCTCTTTTTTAATTACTTTGCCTCATGGATTCATTCTTTTGGGATTATTGGATTGTTGTCTTCCTTATCTCTCTCTCTCTCTTTTTTTTTTTTTTTTTTGGTACCAGGGATCAAACTCAGGTTCTTTCGCTTTCGAGGCAGGTGGTGGAACCACTGAGCTAAATCCCTGGCCCCCTTATCTCTTTTTAGAATATCCTTTAAAACTTTTTGGAGTGCTGGGTTGGCGTTCATGGATTTCTTTATGTGTTCTTTATCCCAGAAGTATCTTTTTTCTCTGCCAATTTTGAAATATAATTTTTCAAGGTACAACTGTCTGGGTTGGAAGTTGTTTTCTTTTAGAACTTGAAATACTTCAAGCTCTCCTTGACTTAAGCATTTGTGTTGAGAAGTCTGCTGTGATTCTGATGGGCTTTCCTTTATAGACGATGTGTTTGTTTTCTCTATCAGCTTTTAATATTCTGTTCTAATGTTAAATTATGTTAATTATGTTAATTATGTTTTTGTGTGGTTTTTTCCTGATTATGTATAATTGAGGTTTTATATGTGTCACTTATCTTTATGTCAAATTCTTTTCCCATGCTTGGGAAGTTTTCTGCTATTACTTCTGGGAACAGATTTTTTTATGTCCTTTGTGTTATCTTCTGATTTTTTATTGATTCTAATTAATTTTATATTATTCTTCTTTGTATCATCTAGCAGCTGTTAGATTGATTTTTTGTAGTCTCTTACTATTTTTAAGCTGTCTTTCACTTGATGATCACCAACAACAACCCTGTCTTCTAGATCTGATCTTCTATCTTCACATTGGCTGATTCTGCTATGTATACTTTCAATAGAATTTCTAATCTCCTGAATATCTGTTTGCATCTGTTTTAAGGCATCCAGTTCTTTCCTATGTTGGGCATTCGTGGTTTCCCTAAGCTCTTCTATTTTGTTATATGTGTCTACTCTAGATTTACTAAGCATTTCCTTCATTGTGGTCATCATGTCTTTAGTTATTTGTGTGATTATTTCTGTTTTGTTTTTGTCTAGGGACTTATTCACCTGCTTTGTTACTTCTGCTACTACCATTTCATAAAATTCAGCTGGGAGGCTTTTGATTTCTTCCACCTTGATGTTCTCTGGGCTTGCTGTGGGCAAATTGGGCAAACTGGATTGCATCTTGCTTCTGTTTTTTTCTCATTTTGTATTTTTTTGCTTGTTTTCTGCATTGAGGCTTATAAGTTGTTTATAGTAGGTAGTTTTATACTAGTACCAAGACCTCTTCAGGTAATAACTACTTTTCAGAGCTGTATTCTAGACATAGCTGACTTTTGGTCTTTCAGTTGATCCCAGGATCCTATCTCTTCTGTTTACTAGGAATAAAAGGTTGTGCCTTGCTTGCCCTACCATCCAGTTATTTGGTACTGAGCTGTAATAGTGTTTCTGGGCCCCAGACAATTTAGGTATTGCATACAAGGAGGATCAATTGATCACAAAAGCAATATTACCTTGGCTAACTTTTTGTTTGGTTGGGTTTTTTAAAAGTTAATTTTATTGTTGCATTTTAGATATATATAATGATCAGATTCATCATAGGGAATTTGTACCTGTGCATAAGACATCTTGATTCTTCTTTTTCCCCAGTCCCCTTCCCTCCCTTCAACTCTTCTTTCCCTCCTTATTTATGAAAGCTTCCTTTCTATTTTTTTCCCTTCTAGTCTCTAGTCCCTTTCTTCCTTTCCCCCTCCCCAACCTTGGCTAATTTAGTACAATCAGTAATAACTATAGTATCAAACACAAACTGGAAGTGACAAACGGTAATAACTAACACTTCATTACCTTTAACCCTAGGTATAGGATTTGTAGTTATATAACAAGGTCTAAAGCAAATCAAAAAATTATATGCAGTAAATATCCCCTTGTTAGAGCAATTTACCCCCTTGCACTATAAAGCAGTATCTAGACATACTAAGGTATAATTACCCACCTATAAATTCATAAAGGTGGGTGCTATGAGTGTTGAAGAAAAAAGAGCAAAAGAAATAGATTATGAAAGATAAAGCAATGGTGGATGTGAAGAATGTGGTAGGATTGGTCCAGGAGTCCTGTTAAGGAGTAAAGGGAAATTAGTGGATTAGATAAGAGTAACAGAGAAGACCACACAGGAGAAGTATAAATAATAAGGAGCAGAGATTAACCTAGAGAAAAGAACATAAGAAAAAAATACCAAGGAACAAGCTAGTAATATTCTTCCTGGTTTGGGGGTGGATTCTGTGGATGGAACTCGCGACCTTGCACTGTCGAGGCAGGGATGGTGCCACTGAGCTAAATCCCTGCCCCGCCAAGGGAACAAGTTGAAAGAGAGAAATTAAGAAAAGAAGGGAGGAGAGAGTGAATAAAAGGAGGACCTATTCAAACTAATAAAACAAATAATATTAAAAAGGGAGGACCAAGAAAATGGGTGGTAAAACTCCAAACTCCAACAAAAGGAAAAAAATAGTGAAAAATAAAAAACATACCAATAATGGAGGAAAAAAACGAGAGAAAACATTTCCTGTGTGTGTCCAGAGGATTGTTTGTCCCAGTAGTCTTTAATCTCACGAGCCATAGTCCTGTCGGCCTCTCTCCACTGCAGCGCTGTCTGTGGCAGCTGTTCAAGTTGGGGTGCTGGACCGGGAAGGTGAGGGGCCTTGTTTCTGAGGCTCTTGTGGATTTCTTCTGGTTTGGTTCTGACATCGGTTACCCAAGGAATATTCCAGTGTGTGGGACAGGCTCCCAACATATGGAGGCTCCTGTGCAATCTCAGACCTGGCACTCAATTCTGCGGATGTTCAGAGGAATCAAATCCAGGACTAACTGGGAAGATTTCTACAAGCCCAGGGAGGGTAGAGAGCACTGGGTGGTGTCTCCTGGTTGCCATTAACCCTTACAGCTTAACCAGGCAGAGGCTGCCCTTGTGTGTCAGGCAGGAGCAGTGTCTGGGCTCTGCGTGAATTCAGGGTGGAGACCCTGCTTTGCCAAGGGTGCCTGGAACTCCTTGTGCAAACTCTGGTTTCCTGGGGAGTGGTGGTAGGTATCAGACAGAGTCTGGCAAATTTAGGATTACAGCAGGGCAGTGAGAGCCTGATGTAGCTACAAGTGAGCCCAGATGGTGAGTAAACCCCACAATTGGCTTGTTCTGAGAAGCAAGTCCAGCTGAAGCCTACTTGCTGAGGTCAGAGTAACTCGCACCCAAATTCTGTTCACAGAACTAAAACCTTCTGACTAGAAGGACAGTGTTCTAATTACAACCATGTATTTTGTCTATTCTGTTCCTAATTCGAGAATGCTTTGTCTTGTCCTTTATGAACCTTGTTTACATTAATTTCCATAGACACTGCACGTAGCTCGCCTTTACCCCAACTGATTGCCAACAAAAGTCCGTGCCTGGGACTGGCCAGTGGCTTTGTTGGTTGCACCGGCCTGTGTTGTATACTGGGCAGGGGACTGGAACCTAACTGCACGGGTCTCCAGTAACAAGCTATAAAAACCCTATGCAGAAAATGGGAAATAGTCACTAGAATTTTCACAGGGCTAAGGAGAAAGCTATGCCCAAGACCTCTGGAGACCTGAGGCTCCACTTCAAAAAGACTCCTGTATTGTTCCAGTGCAGATAAGCAGCATCACTAATGACCCTAATTCACCACAGCTTAAATAGGGACCTGTATTAAGGCTTCTGTTTTTAATTAGATTCATTACGTGGGTAATCTTGCTAAAGCTATGGCTGTCAGGCTGTCAATAATTTATCTAACTTCCCTCTTTGCTATACTTTGTGTTCCACAAGAAGTGTGGAAATCTGACCTGCTCCTCATATTTGGGTTCTACATCCCCAACCTACAGTAAAGTGACTTTCTTTCTCCCATTGACCAGACAGCTCAGTAGTCACTAATTCTTTTCTCATTGTCTTCTAACAGTTTTTCTCTTCAAGCAAGCAATGAGGCACAACACACCATGGTAGTTGGAGAGCACATAATCCCTAGTAGGCAGAGTCTACAGCCCATTCCAGCCAGAAGAAGCTATAGAAGACAGAGACCTCCACTCCCTCAGCACCCTGTACAGAATTATGGGGGTTTGTGTCTCTCAGGGGGAAATGAGACAGGACATGAGGGAGTGGCAAAGCTGACTGGGGAAGTAGGTGTGACCTGTTAATCACAAAACCCCAGGACACATGTGCAGAATCCTTCCCAAAGCCCTGCATGTAGACTTCTTTGGAGAACTCAAGCATGTTTTTAATAGGATGGTGTAGCGTTGACATCAGCCAAGGAGTGGGTAATCCAAAAATGACGGTTGAGTTTTTGCCACTGTTTTCTCTCTTGCACGCAGCCCACCCTCATGCTGTGGTGCATACTTCTTTTCCTACTTGTTCCAAACTTGTTCTGCAGAGGCTGTTTTTGTCTTAGTTACTTTTCTTGTTGCTGAGACAAAATACTTAACACCCAAAGCTAAAGGAGGAAAGGTTTATTTGGCTCACAGTTTGTAGAGGTTTCAGTTCATAGCTGGTTGGCTCCAAGGCAGGGGGCACGGCAGGAGAGAAACAGTTCATGGCAGGAAGAAAGCAGAAGTTAGCATGGCAGCAAGCTACAAGCAAGAAATTAGCGATCCTTTTTCTGTCTCTATATTTAATCCAGGCTACCTTCCCTTAGGGTGGGAAGCACATCTTCAATCCTAGCATCACACCATGAATCAATCCCAGGTTCACATCCTTGATCCCAGCAGCACACACCCTAGGTCCCAAAAGACCCATGTATGACCTCATGAGGCTTTGTGAGGACATGGGATACAAGCCATGACAATTTTCCTACCTTTAATAAAACTTTTCTACCATTTGTGCTTCTCTTGACCAACACAGGACAGAAAGAACCTAGAAACCACCTCCAGGAGGAGACTCCAGCACCCTAAAACTCGGTAACAGTCTTACTGGGGTGACTGAAGTCTCAGTCCTACTGGGGACCCACTGGGAGCCAATGTGAGACACATGCCTCAGACCCACTGCTGAGCCAGCAGGGTGCTGGGGGACATGGATGTCCACTCTCATCACCCATGGTGCAAGTGCCCCTTGATGGCCACTGTTCTTAGCATTAACAGTCTGCCCAGCCAGACAAAGGACTCCAAAGGCAAAAGTAAGCCCTCATGCTACGAAATGCAGATCTAGCAGTTGAAAGTAACATTCTAGTAAAGAGGTAAAGGGAAGAATGGGAACTGGGTGGGGCACTAATACTATAGAAAAATATACCACCATTCTGGCCACTGGGTTGGTTTCCCCCATATAATGGCTACTCTAGCACAGTTAAAATGATCAGAAGGAGCCAGGTGGTACACACCTACAATCCCAGCTACTCAGGAGGTGGGGGCAGCAGGAGTGCAAGTGCAGGCCAGCCTGGGAAACTTAGGCTAGGTCTCAAGATAAAAATAAAAAGAGATAGGGAGGTAGAACCATGGGAGAGGGCTTGCCGAGCACATGTTTAGCCCAGAGGTTCAATCCCCAGCACTGGAAAAAAATAAAAGTGGAAAACAGGACTGAGAAGGTTCCAACTTTTAATACTTCTGCAACTATATCTTAGAACAGGACAGGATGACAGGATGATTACTAGATACCAGCTTTCATGGTTTCTGATTTCAAAACATTACATTGAAGATTGCATTTTAAATCATTTTGTAAAATGACATTTACATGATACAGAATGGAAAGAATGACTTCTTAAAATATAAAAGCCAGTAGTATGAAGAAGAAAGGCTAGTAAGCATAGATTTTCACTGTGTGGACTTCTTTGTCGTCACATTCCCTCTGTTTGTTGTAGTAATAAAAGGTATTGTCCCTTCTCTGCAGTTTCTTCACATATCCTGTCTCTGGCCAACGATCTACCTGCACAAACCAGAATATAAATGTTGTTATGCCCATTTTATCTCATATTTTATATCAAATAGTTAAATGTACAACTTGTTCCCCCACCCCCAATTAAAGTATACAATTAAATTTAAAAGTGCTCATTTGCAAACAGCCCAATTGTCCATCAGCTGGAGACTGGATAAAGAAAATGTGGTGTTTTTTTAAATATAAAATGGAGTACTACTCAGCCAATAAAGAATGAGAAATTAGAGACATTTGTAGCTAAATGGATGCACATTGAGGCGATACTCTTAAGTGAAATCAATAGGACACGTGTAAATACTGAATAGCTTCTCTGGTGTGAGAAACTGAAAGTGTAAATAAGGACTGAAAGGTATAATAGGTAATGTGAAAGAGGAAGAAAAGGGGCAAAGGAAGGGGAAGTGGGAGGGGTAGGGGAAAGGAGAGAAGGGAATGGAATTAATGAGAAAAGGAAAAATGGAAACAAAGTCTTTGTAAATAGGGAGGGATAGAGGGGTTGAAGGGAGGGCAGGGAAAGGGGGAAAAATAAGAGCCAAGATACATCATGTAAAGGTGCAAATTTCCAGTGATGAATGTCGTTATATTGTACACCTAAAATGTACTAATAAAATTTGTAGAATTTTAAAAAATTTTAAAGTTCTCGAGCTCAGAGTATTATACGCACAAAACACGCCTTGCGCTGCTTTTTGTTGTTGTTTTTCTGAGACAGGGTCTCACTATGCAGCTCAGGCTGGCCCTGAACTCACTGTGCAGCCCAACTGGCCTTGAGCTCATGGGACATCTCTTGCCTCAGCCTCCTGAGTGCTGGAATGGCAGGTGGGCGCCACCATGCACAGCTCATGGCCATTTTCTACACTATAATCAAACGATTAATTTAGCTCTTTTCTCTGTGCGGCCCACTTTCTAAATTTAAACGCCTACATTGTCTCCAAGATCATGGGAATATTTTAAGTAATCTAAACTTCATCCTTGTTATGTTTACATATGATTTCAAACATTGTAATTCCTAAAAGTAATACCCCGGGAGGAAACTGAGACTGTCTGCTTTGGATGTCATGCAGGGACTGAAGGAAACAAGTAGGCTTGAAATTGCTTGGTTTGGCATGTTTGCCACACCTGTCATCATCCTAGCTTGCAGGAGCTTGTCTCAAAGAACCAAAAGAAAAAAAGAAAAAAGAAATCGAGATTGCTAGAGGTGTCAAGGCGATGGGTGTGTCCCTCAGCTTCAATTTCAAATTCACCCTGAAGTCCTTTTCTTGGTAGTGGGGATTGAACCCAGGTTTTGTGCATCTTACTATGCTAGCTACATCCCCTCTACCACTAAGCTACATCTCTAACCTTTTTATTCTGAAAGAAGGTCTTGCCTAATCCTCCTGAGTGGTGGAGATCACAGGTGTATGCCATCATGCCTAGCTTGATGTGCAGCTCACCACAGAAATCTGCAGTCCTCAACATGGTCCCCAGAAACCTCTTTTCTTCACTCTTCCCTCGTGTGCCGTATTGGTTTGCTGACTGATCCACTTTGAACACTTTTCTCCCTTTTCTCTCAAAATTCAGTCATGCCTTCTTGATCAGGTTAATGTGTTTTTAGGGTTACATATGTGCCTGCTGGATTTTGTGAGGGGCACTTTCTCATTCTCAAAAACCCATTACTCAGACTTTAGAGTCAAAGCTTTCTCTTCGTATCATCAGGACAAGCAGCCCCTCGCTTTCGTGTTCCCTGCTTAGAAACACAGAGCTTCCAACTGGAAGAAAAGCTGAAGATGCCATTTAGGTCAGGTCTTTTACTTTCTATAATATATATTTTTTGTCATCTTATTTATGAATTAGCAAAAATAGCTGCATCTCTGACGAACCGTGGCAGGCCCTCTGACATTTAACCACCGGAAATAGCGACCTCTCTGTCCTGCCTTTGTAGCATCAGCAGGAAAAGGAGGCAATCTCAAGATGCCACTGTGGACCCTCGTTCCCATGCTGGGGTCCTGAAGACCACCTCACTGCACGAACAGACAGCGCCCAACACCACTGAAGAACACTCGGAGCCAACTGACGAGACCTCCTCAACACAGGTGGCCGGGCCTCTGCTCGTTGGCCTCTAGATATGTCTTTTTAAATCCTTTGTCATCTCTGACTTTCTCCTGGCTTGGACTTTGATCCCTCCCATTGGACCTGGGCCTGGCTCGTGTGGCAGAATGGAGTGATGAGATCCCTGTGTCCAGCCACCTTTTGCTCACGTAGGGAAGTCAGCACTCATGCTTCAGGGGAGGACAGGGCTCCACTCAAGCCCTAGGCCACAGCACACAGGTGGGAACATCCCACTCAAGGAAAGTCTTCGGTTGCCACCCTATCCACCCTCCAAGGTGCTCTGCAAATGCCACTGGGGCTTTCAGCCTTTTCTGAAGATTGTCCTCACAAGAAAGGCATTTTTCCTTCCTTTAAATTCCCGTGCTGCCCTTTCTGAAGGTATGCATACTTCAACTTGAATATGATTTTATTGTTCCTGTTATTACCTATTTTCTACTCCAAGAAAATGAGAATAAGAGCTGTTATTCATTAATGCCAGTTAACCATTCATTAAACATTCACTGCTTATTCACTCAGCAAGCTCTGAGGAGCAGAACACTGTCAGGCACTTTAGACAGATTTCACTTAACTCTTGTAGCAGTTTTCTCAGGCAGATACCACATGACTGAGGAGCCCGAGGCTGGGTGACCTGGACAACTGTGTCGAGGGTCACCTAGAGAGAAGATGCAAAGCCTGGAGGGACTGCCTCCAGACCTGTGCACTTCCAGCCAGCTCCTGGGGTTCCTTGGTCTCAGGCAGTATTTTACCTGTTTGTGTCTCCTAGCACACTTGGTACAGAAATCTGCAAGTGGCAATTACCAAATAAATACAGACTGAATTAAACACAAAGCATTTGCTTCTTGGAACTTCCTCTTAGAAGATGTACTTTGTGTTCTTATATCCCATTTCACCCCGCTATTTTCGGGCATTGGGCCGCAGCTGGAGGAGTGATGTGTCTCGCACTTCCTGTGTGACCCTGCACCTTGTGTGTCCTTAGGGGTATTCCAGTCCTTCCTTATTATTTTTCCAGTGTTGGGGTCAAACCCAGGGCACTGCACTCACTAAACAAGTGCTTCTCCACAGAGCTATGGCATCCTGATCCTAAGGCAAGGCACGAAGCTTATTTTTGAATAGCATTGAAATGATAATGCTTATGTTTTCTTTATTCCAAAGCCATAGATGGCCCAGGAGTGAAAACTGTCTTTTGGTAATGAGACCAGAGTAAAATGTAGCAGATATGAGAAGACAGATATATAAGTCACAGTAATCAAACCTCCATTTGATCAGCATCTTAAACTCTATTTCTCACCAACTAAATAATGTCTGTTAAGTTAATGTCTACCAAATTTAAGAACCTGTTACATTTTCGTCCTACTAGTCCTTTTTTGTTGTTGATCAGGGTCTCACTGCGCAGTTCAGGCTGGCCCTGAACTCACTGTGTAGCCCAGGTTGGCCCCCGACTTGCCGCAATCCTCCCGCCCCAGCCTCCCCCACCCCCAGCAGGAGTTGTTCTTTAACAATTTTAGGGTTTGTTTTGTTTTTGTTTTTTGGTACCAGGGATTGAACTCGGGACCTTGTGCTTGCAAAGCAGGTGCCAGTACCACTGAGTTAAATCCCCGGCCCTTTTTAACAATTTTTGTCATGTACAATCTCCACTGAAAATGTAAGTTAACCCCTTTCCAATTTATGTTTAAAATAAATAAACAGGAGGGAAGTAGCAGTTATGCAACAAACTGAGATCTGGTAATAGGGTTTCCTGAGTGCAGGAGAAAACTTTTAGGGGCTACATACCACGAAAGACTCATTTAGCAGAGCACAGTTGTTGGACAGAAATTCAGAATTACCTCATTGAAGGGCTGCACATTTCCCCAGTCTGCCCAACAAAGCATCTTTCTGGGCCCATGTCTCTTCCTCTATAAAATGAGTTGTAGTGGAATTTTCTTGTTATTTTTTGGTTTCTTGTCTTTAAAAATGCTTTTTACCACCTAACAAGCTCACTTTGTGTTCAAGTGCACAGAGGTATCAATCTTACCATGGAGACTTGCTTCACTTGCTTATACTCAATTTCATCCCGATATCCTGCTTGCTGAAATCTGTACAGATTTTCTATCTCTTCTGACCATTTTTTGGCACGACTTATTGATTTGGGTTTCACATCAGAACTAGCCATGGCTACAGAGGCCTTAATTACCAATTATTTCTGAAAGATTTAAAAACATTAATAGATAACTTAGTGACACTTTTCAAAGTCCCTTTAGAATGAACTAAGACAAAATATAGAGTTAAGAATCCCAGTAAATATATTAAATTTTAAATATTCAATTGAACATTTTTGAAGGATTCATGGTCTGTTTTGGAAAAACCCCTCCCCCCCAAAAACCTGATAAATACACATCAAATAAAATTCTATTTGTAATTATGGGGTAATAACCTAAAAGGTGTATCCCAGTTCTGATCTTCCAGGCAATAGCTTGCACACTTCTGAAAACATACTTATTTATAACTCCTCAGATGTCGCAATATTTCTCCAGTATTTCATGTAATTGTATTTAAAACTGTCTCTTTTTCCTTAAAAACAGAATGTAAGAGCAGTCTTCTCCCTCTCTTCCCTTTTTCCTTGCTGGGAAGTGATGGTTTCCACTCCTTAGCTGCTTGGAGATACCCCAGTCACTGCTCTGCAGGTGTCCAGGTCACTGTGGCCCCTGATCCCGTGACAGACCAATGTGGGAAGAGGTTCCCTTGCAAGCTGTGTGGCTGTCATGACACCAAGGGCACTGATTACACAGCAGTGTAGGAGGTCACCAGTGGTCTCAGAAATTCAAACATCCCACTCCAGTGTATGTACCTGGGCACTCACCAACCTCAGGGCTTAGGTGCAGCTTAGCCGCAGAGCAAGTGCCTAGCACGCGAGCAGCCCTGGGCTCACCTTACAAACCCCCTCACCACACCTCTATTGGCAGCTGTTTTGTTTGCTGGCTTTCTCAGTGTGGGGATCACACTCAGACCTGGCACCTGCCAAACTCCTCAGCCCTGTACCTCTGCAGCCTGCCTCTCAAAGATAGAACCTAGTGTTTGTTTTCCTCAGCTACTTCTTATTTTATTACCAAACATCATCTAGCTGAAATAAAGTGCCCAGTGTTTTCAACCATAATTCCTTGAATCTTTTTCTATTAAAATATCTTTCAGTTGGCTGAAACATTTTAAAGTCAGACTTCCTATTCGTTAGTCATTTTTAAATCTTTCAGTCACGAGGACAAATGCTCATTAGGTTCAAAAGGTCAAGAAATACATTAAAATACAAAAAAGGCTAAAATCATCATCACATATACATCCTTGATATTAGGTGAACACTGCCCCCAAATTATGATGAATTATGACAGACTTGATAAATTTTATCAGAAAGAGTCCTACAATAAATGATTTACAGGAGTGGTAAGTTTAGTTTTACCTGGATTTAACAGCAGGAAAGAGGAAATGGAAAAGGCGACAGATCTGCTGAATTTCAAGTGAGTGCATCTTGATTATGCACCTAAAAGAGTCTCCATGGTTAATAAGACAATGAAGGCTGCCAGTAGATGAAGAGCTGTTTCCTTTAGCTGCATGTATCAATCATACACAAGTACTGGTAGACTCTTTTCTATGAAAAAGAAGATAAAATTTCTCTCCCCTTTCCTCTAGATTTTTGTTGCATTACGTATTTAACATCCCAAAGCCTATGGCATTTATGTTTTATTCTGAAACTATAATTCCTACAGTTAGCTGGGTGTGGTGGCACACACCTATAATCCCAGAACTCTGGAGAATGAGGCACATAGTGAGTTCAAGGCCAGCCTGAACTACACAGGGAGAACCTGTCTCAAAAATAATAATTCCCACAGTTATTTGGATTTAGCTCCAGAGCTCCAGATATAATCTAAACCAAATCATCTGAGTCACATGGTTCTTATCCTGAAGAAAGTAGCAGTGACATAAATGAACATATCATTAGTGTTGATATTTACATTTTTCCAAAGTGAATACCAATTTATATTTTGACTTGGCTAGAGAGTATTAGGGTTTTTCTAGTAGGTGAGCTTTAAAAACTTTTGACCTTCAGTTATTGATTTCGATTCATGCTCTTGTTGAATTTTAACGCAATTTATTGTTATGGTATTGCTTGATTTATATAAAATTTGGACTAGCCATGTTTGAATTAAAATTTTTGTCCTTTAATTCCATTCATTTTAATGGGAAGTTCATTTTATCACTGAAGAATGGGATACTATACCTGTGGCACAACCTGATAATCTATTTACAGATATATTTTATATATATACATTACATATGGAATATCTAAATAATAGAAAATATGATGCCAAGAAACATGAAACGGGAAACCATGAATTCACAGTATTAAAATACCTTCAAAATTTGAATCACTTACATCATTTTTACAGATGAAGTGTATTTTCTAAAAGTAGTGGCACAATCTTTACTTTTCCCAAAGGTATTTTTTTTTCATTTTTTACCACATTTATTTTATGTCATGATTTTTTAGTCCTGACTAACATGATACAATTTGGGAAATAAATATTCCCCTTTTTTGTTGCACATGTGCTGCTAACAAGGGGTGGAGGAAAAGAATCAGCAAAGGCTGCAAGAAATGGAAAGATGGGGAAAGAAAGACAAGGCTGAAGGGCAGGAAGTGTTTCTCTGAACCTCCCTAAAGAAGCACTGCCAGCCCACCAAGTTCCACGGTGACAACATAAAGTGTTTTCGCCTCACAGAAATCATCTGGAGCCACATTCAAAGTCCACGAGTTATACACATCTTGGAGTGGGTTTCCTTTCACATGTCACGGTGCATTTTTTCACTTTGCAAGCCCCATAGATGACACTGTTCACCAAGCACTTTCAGTGCATTATTCAGCAAATAATTTGATCATGTAAACCGACCTTGGTTAGCAGAGGGGAGTCAGCTGCCTTGTAAGGTTCTTTCTTTCAAGTGAAGCAGGTCTGTACTTAGAGCTGAGTCAGAGGAACCTCTGGAAGCGCATTCCTGTTTCAGCCAGGTTTGCACACACTTGCCACCCGAATGTGGATTACATTAAGCAACACCTTGGTTAAAGGTACGAATATAACAGCTCCTGGAACAATTAGCTAGTATCTGTCCAGACAGTGAGTGTAAGTGAAAGCTCTTTTAGCTCCTCCCCCAGGTCCTCAAAAGGCCTTGATCCGGAGGCTTTGCTGCTCAGTAACAACTGTGCACTGTGCAGCTGAGCTGCTGTTTCAGAGATCAGAATGTGTGAAAATAGCCCTGGGTGGCGTTCATCTCATCAGTGCTGCCCAATCCACGGGAGTGAAAAACGGGTGAGATTTGATATCTTCAACACCAGCGACTCCAGCTCCCAGACGTTCCAGGGGGTTGAACTGCAAGAGCTGTTGAATGAGGGACAGAGCCTCTTCGGAGACACTTTCTGGAATGTTCAAGGTAGTGTGAGTATTTATTCCTGCCAGGTGGCACTCAACCAAAGTCTTGTCAGGGAGAAGTTCAAAGAGGACAGCACCCAAGCTCCACCAATCACAGGCTTCAGTTTCTTCTGTGATTGCCCCAACCTCTGGGGCACAGTACATTCTCTCTATGGCATCGCTGTCACAGGAATCTTCAACCTCACTCCACCTGCTAAAATACGTTAGCTGAATGTGTCCTCTCTCATTCAATAAGATGTTGTTTGGGTTCAAATCGTGGCACACAATTCCCTCTCTATGTAAAGCATCAAGGGATACCACCATTTCAGCTGCCCATCTTTGAATGCAGTCCTCTGGGATATAAAACCTTGAGTTTAGTGCTAATTTTTTATCAAGGTCCTCAAAAATCTGATGGATTTCCTTGTCTCCTTCCAGGGCTAAACCACTTTCGCCCTTAGTCTCTGAGTTTCTTTGGAATAAAGAAGTAGCCAAGTCATCAGTCTGATCTGTAAACAGCAATATTTCCTGTTTTTAAAGTGTCTGTGTTTGCATTATATTTGTTAGCACCTGAGAGTGTATCAGAAATATGGAATAAGCTTTCTTCCACGTTGTCTCCAGTTAATGCCGACTCAGTTACTCGGAGTCGTCCAAACTTAGGATCTGAGTTATGTAACAAAGACGCGTCTTCTGAACCGCTATGATCAACAGCTGCTACAAATAACACCCCCAGGTCTTCCCGGACATAGTGTGTCCCAGGCCTGGAGGGGCCACTCAGGTTCTCTGAGCCTTCCTCTTCAGGGGCTTGGCATTGTTCAGCACTAAGCCGGAGACCTAACACATCTGGAGCCTCCAGCAGCTTATTTTCTACTCTGCCTCAGGAAGTCTGTGTAAACTTAGTAGGTCCTATAGCTGCAGCTTCTTTTGGTGGCTCCAATTCACCAGGTAGATTTACAAGAAGATCATGCCTTCCTTTGTCAGTACGTGATATCATCAAAAGCTGCATCTTTAAACCAGATAACTGGGACTGAATCATCTGAGCCCCTGCTAACGGTGTCCAGAGCTGTAAACTCGACCCTGCTTTCCCTGGCATTCAAACTCTTGGAAGTATGGTCTCCATCTGGAAGACCAAAGAATGGCTTCAAGGGTTCTGATTTCAGACTGTACAATTTTTCTCCAAAATCGAGTCCCAGAAATTCATTTGTGCTGTCCTTACTATCTATTCTAAAGAATTCCATAGGGCTGTTTTTTGATCTGCTAAGGGAATCGGATGTTCTTGGAGAAGGAAGTACTTCAGAGTCCTCATCTCCAAGGAAGAACTTCAAGTTGTCAGCTCTCAGCTGTGTGCTGGAGTCGGCACTGTCGACAGCAAGGCATGCTGGGAAGCGCTGGACGGCTCTGGCACCAACATCCTTCCCTTCAGTCTTCACAAAGGGTTCCTCATTCAAAGTCCCTGGTTCGATCTTTTCTTGACCATATTCACTGCACAATGTTAAATAACTAGTAGTGCAGTCCTCTTCTGAACTTAACCCAGAATCGGGCCACTTTGGAGAGCTGTGTTGGCCATCGTCTTCCTGGTTGCTGTCCTCTTGAGAACTTGGAGTGAGACTGGTCTTCAGAGGCAGAACTCTGAGCACGCCTCCCTCGTCGCTGCCCCTGGACTCAAAGCAGCTGCTGTCCTGAGGACTGGGAGCTGGCTGCTGCAGGTGAACCTCAGCAAGCATGGACTTCGTTACTTCCTTGGTGTCAAAGCTTTCTTCAGGACTTCTATTTAGAAATTTACTGAGATATGACCAGAGCTTGCCACCTTCCACATGCTGCAGCACCAGGAACACCGACTCCTCCAAGACGATGTACTTGTGCAGACACACCATGTTGGGCACACAGCGGGGGGATGATGGTCTTTCTGTTCCTGCTGGATTCGCTGCTTTTCCTCAGACCTTTTAAGATGAATGTCTGCTCTGTCCTTGTGTCCATTACAAGTAAAACCTTGTGAATCACCCCAAGGACTCGGAAGGCCTTCAGCTCCTCGGCGGGGCTCCTTAGGTTCCAAGGGGGCCTTGAACTTAGTGATCCTGGAGGCTGAGACCCATTGCCCAGCTGCGGTCCTTGGTGGAGGCTAGAGATGCTTTCCACCCTCATGAGGTACTCCGCTGTCCTCCTCTTCACAGCCTCACGGCGGGTGGGACTGGACTCTCCTTGAACACCTTCTAGGAGTAAGTCAACCCCCTTCCTATAAAAATCAGAAGCAGCTTCATAGTCGTCTTCCTCTTCCTTTTTCAAGGCCAGTTTTATTAATTCTCCTTTCTCCAAATAATCTGTCTTGCCAAATTTAGGTTTTAAACTGCCAGGAAAGAGGCTGTGACTTTCCTGTTCTTCTGTTTTGTTCTTTTCGCTGTCAGAAGCAACAGCCCCTGGTGCTGAAGACTCCGAGGAAAGACTGAGACCCAAAGTTCTAATGGGAGAATTTCGATTGGAAGGCATTCCATCATCTAACTCAGCAAGAGAATCCACATCAACAGTAAGGGATATCAGATCACTGTCACTGGAGAAGCCTTCCGCACTACACTCAGGAACAGCATCAGCGAGGGAGTCCGAGCAACCTTTGGTGGGGTCAATTAATTCAGAGCCATCGTTGAGTATCCCGCCCTTGAAAAACTCTTCAAGCTGTTTACTGTTGTAAAGAGCGGGAATGTTGGCAGAGAACTGCAGCAGGTCTTCGGCACACTGTCTTCTCTCTTCCATGACGGTTTCATCGAATTGCCCTGAAAGGCAGCAAGAGCATGAGAAATCACAAACAGGTGCTTTTCTCACCGCTGCTTTCCATGTCCGCTCAGAGAGCCAATGTTTATTTTCCAAACACTATTCCTTTAGCAAAGGGAGGAAACAGCTCTGAATGACGGAATAAGTGTTTGTGAATTTGCCATAGCTCTTTGTGCAGTTTCTTAAAATCACTGAACCTCTTCCGTACGATTATCTCCTGGACATCCTCTGGGTTTTTCCGTGAAACAACGTGAAGGTTTTCACTCTCATTTTAGGTGCAGTGGAAGAATTACTCTTTGCCCTCCAAATATATCCCAAATGAAAAGAGAAATACACTTAGTGTCAGAAATTAAATCAGGGGCCGGGGATTTAGCTCAGTGGTTCCACCACCTGCCCGGGCGGTGACCTTATACACAATGTAGCCCCTCGGTTGTCGCTGGGGCTCGGTGACAGTGTAGAAACGAGCCAGGTCGGCACTGCGTTCCCGGGGAGCTGTCATCCTCCCTCTGCCTCTGCCGCTGGCCCAGAATCATCGGGGCGACCCAGAGCCCCAGCGCTCCGCGTGCCCACGCAGCCGCCAAGTGACAAGGGGGCGGTGGCTCCACTGCGGCGCTCGGCCCCCAAAGGCATTTCTGCTGTAGGCTTAGCTTTCCAATACCTAATACTTTTTCTTTGCTCATCTTCATTCGAAAGCTATTGACCTGTCTTCTATGTAATGTCATTTTTAGGTCATACAATTATGTGAACTACACATAAAAAAATGCAACATCTACTAGAACAGCAGAAAGTATGTGGGATTCAATTGAACTTCTGGGGAAATCACTGTATTTTTCTCAGTTGAAAGACACATCTTGTAGCTATTAGGCATTTCTAAGTTTCTTTTCTCAAAATATCTAAAAGGAACATAAATGTCATTTTCACCATAACAGGATCCTCTGTGTCTACTGTAATTGTGCAACTGGTGTAAATTCCAATTTTTCATCTCTCTTACTTTCAATTTATCAAAAACAGTGGAACTAAAATTAGGAACGATCAACTTAAATGCCTCAACTATTTCAGTGATTCAGGGAAACTCAGTGGTGCTGCTAGTTCCATTAGGAGCATTCAGGACTTTCAGACTGAGTGGTATCTTCACGGGAAGTTCTGGCAAAAAATTGATAAAAATACACTTAATCTGTATATTAAATTCTGTCTCCTCAAACAGGAAGTGGCAATGCCCGAGTTACTAGTTTGTGGACAACGGATTTTATTAAACACTACTGGGGTTTATACGGGTACTGAAAAACTGTGACTCTGTAGTACCCGACCATCTGTTCCGCTGGACAGCGGCTGGTGGAGTCAGCAGCCGCCTCAGACACCTCTCCCGACTGCGGTCGTTCACTGTCTGTGGCGTAAACCCTGAGATCATCACCCTCCCTACTCCCAGGCCTTCCCCGTTTCATTATTTCTATCAAAGGGAGTTGGGGCTGGGCCTGTGGGTGCACAGCACCTTGGACCTTCGGCTTCATGGTGTCTTCCTTATCTTCTCAGAACTTGGGCCCAGGTCACTTAGGTGTGTCAATCACTTAGGAGCTAGTATGACGTTTATCAGCCCTAAATTTACAGCCATCTCCCTGCCCTTCAAGGCCGAAGACTGCCAGACGAGAGCAGGCCGCTTTCAGGGTTTGCAGGGCCGTTCAGCGGTGTTCACGGCGCTCCCCTCCAGACCCCTTGGCGCGGCATCCGGAAGCCTTCCGTCGCTGTGTAAGCCCGCACCGCCGCGGATTCCAGGGCCTCGCAGGACACACGCGTGACGGTCAGGGCACTACCCGCGCGGGGTCGCCCGTGCCCTCCCTCGTCCCAGCGCGCAGCAGCCACCAGCTCTCGGAACCGTGGGCAGGGCTGAGCGGGGCAGGCCCGGCAGGCCTGTCAGCCCGCGCGCCGCTCCCTGGCTCAGCTGCCCTGCCGGCCGCGCTCGCCTCTGCTAGCCCTGAAGTCCATCCGCGCCCTGCTGCTCCAGGTGCCCTCCGGCCCCGCCACGTCTGCCTGCGCTTCGGGGCGAGCCGGGTCTCGGACCTCCTAACCCAGGGTTTCCCCGGGCGGCAGGGCGTAACTAGCGCGCCACCCCGGCCGAGACGATGGACTTCCGGGCCCGCTTTCTCGGCTGCGAACGGGAAGCCGTAGACAAAGCCTCCGCGCCGCACGCAGCCCCCGGAGCAGCCAGGGCTCGGCCGGAAGACGGGAAGGCTGCCCAAGCCCGCGCTCCAGGCCCGCGCCCCGCCCCTCCGGCTCGGAGCCGCCCCGGGGCGGTGGGATGCAGGGAGGGCTCTCCGGAGGGGCCCGGAGTCCTGGCCCTCAGCCGCGGCCTCTAAGGCCGAACGAGGCTGCAATCAGCAGAGGCCAAATGAAAACAGCCCGCGGAGAGGGCGGAGGCGGGGACCGGGCAGCCGCGGGTCTCGAGGAGCGAGGAGCTGCGGGCAGAGGGCAGGTTGCGCTCCCCCCCGCCCTGCGCTCCCTCCGGGTTACCCTCGCTCGGGAGAGCCGGGTCCGGGCGGAAGTCGCAGGCGGGCGGCTCGGCGCTGCTGTTCCAGGTCTCCGCTTGGGATGCGCGGCGGAGGCCAACGGCTGCGCGCGCCTTCCAGCCCTCGCGTCTCCTAGCAACGCAGGGCGGGGGCGTGGCTCGGTGGGCCCTGCCCTGCTCGCGCAAGCTCCGCTCACACGGGTGGCCCTCTGTGCGCACGCGCAAGGCGTGGGCGTGGCCACGGGGCTGCTTAGCCAAGTCGGAGGAGACCCAGAGACCCGAGGTTGGCTGGTGCGCGCCTGGCGCCTCGCGTCTGAGCTCGGGGGGGGAGTAGAAGGTGCTGTTCGCTCCTGAAACCCCAGACCGAGTCCCTAAGAAAATGGATAAGATCGCTGGGATTGCTGGGACTGTTAGTAGACATCCTTTCAATTCGTGGGAGTTATGTCTGCAGCTTTGTTTTTCTAATATTGTCATCATCATTATTATGCTTAAGTACAATCCATTTTAGTGAAAAACAATTAAATTCAAGGTACACATTTTAAACGCAGTAAATTGGACAGAGGAAGAGAAAAAGGCAGTGATGCGCAGGAGCTGGCTCCTTAGGGCTCTCGTGAACCAGTAGTTAAAAGTTTAGGAATTGTGTGAGCTGATTGTTAAACATAAGTTACATTACTACAAACCAAATTGTATAAATGCAATAAACAGTGTAGAAAATTTAAAAGTCTGTTTACTTACAACTCTCACATTTATTCCCTCAGCCCGATCTTTCTCTGAACTTTAGACTTGCATATGGAATATATATTTAACATCCACTTCGTTGTCCAAAGCAACCTTCCAGGCCTCTCCCCCACTGAACAAGGAAAGAAGTTTATCCTTCCGCACCCGCCCCTTCAGCAGAGGACACCTGAGGCCCTCTTTGTCCTGGCTTCCTTACTCGTCGCAGCAAAACCTCGGCTGTGCAGCCCTCACCCAAGCCCAGGCACCTGCAGCCCCCACTGCCTGTTGCGGTGGAACCTGGAGGTCTCCTGCCCTCGCGGCCCCAGTCCTCTGCACAGTCAGCGATCCGTTGGAAACCCAGGTCAGATTAGATCCCTCAGCTCACAGCCCTGCACTGGCTTTGCAGTTTATCCAGGGTAAAACTAGGGGTTTATGAGGCCACCGAAGGCCTGCGAGGTGTGCACACCATCCGCCCTTCTTTCTCGGGTAGCCCTGGAATCACCCTACTCTAGTCACACTGGCCTAACAGTGTTCGATGCACAGCAGGCTCTAACGCTTCGGTATCGAATGAAGGTGCTTCACCATCCCCTGCTGCCAGTGCTGCCCCTCTGACACCACAGCGGGAAGCAGGATTGTTACAGGGCTGGCAGGGGAGATCTTTGGTCTTTGCATTCTTTTTTCTGAGACTGGATCTCTGTATGTAGTCTAGGCTGGCCTTGAATTGAAGCAATCTTCCTGCCTCAGCTTGCAAAGCGCTGGGATTACAGCTATGTGTCATCATGCCTGGCGGCAGTCTTTGCATTCTTGATAAAAGAATTCAGTGAAGATACAGACAAGTGTTGTGAAAGAAAGGCAGAATTTATTGTAAAGTGAAGCAGTTCATGGTGAAAGTACACCCCCAAGGGAAAGGGCATCGAGGGCCCAGATGGCAGTTGGGCTGAATGAAAGTTTAAATTTTATTTCCATAATTTTGTTAGAATATTCTGCCTTTGCTGGTCTATTCAATTCTCATTCGTCCTTTCAAAGGTAAGTAAGATAAGGAAAGACCCCCACCTGAATTGTGTAAGGTCTGGGGAAGCCTTCCCAGTGTCTGTTTGGTACCTGAGCTCATCAGTTGGGTACTTTAGATTCTATTGCCTCTGGGAATGTTCCTTAGTTAAGGTCTTAGTCCTATGTGGGTACATCTTAAAATGATAGTTCTCTTTCTTTTTGTCTTTGAAATCAGTAGGCTAGCTGGGTGTGGTGGTGCATGCCTGTAAACGAAGCACCCGGGAGGCTGAGGCAGGAGGATCACTGTGAGTTCAAGGCCAGCATGGGCTACATAAGGCCAGCCTGAACTATATAGTGAGCCCCTGTCCCCTCCCCCAAAAAAGAAAGAAAAGAAAAAGAAATCAGTGGGCCATAGGGCATGGTAACAAGGAATGCTGAATGTCTTGTTTAAAATTAAGTGTCTGTGAAGTTTTGGTGCACCAGGTAGTGCATGCAGCTATGTATAATGTTTGACCTTAAGATTTCATTGTGTGTAGGGACATTTTTGATCTGAGACCCAGTAGATGATTATAAATGTATTCTACATTGAAGTCTTTTTTTTTTTTAAACCCAGGCTGCCCTTGAACCCTAGGGGATCCTCCCATCTCAGCCTCCCAAGTGCTGATTACAGGCTTGCCCACCATGCCGAGCTGGTCTTTCTTTCTTTAACTATAACTGGCAAAGCTTGCTTTGATCCCCTTTGTCCCTCAGGCCTGATCATGTCTGAGACCTAAGGAACAGTATTGCACGGTGGCTAGTGCTGTGCTAAGAACACAGTGGCCTGCGTGGATTGGAGTCGATTTACTGAACCTCAGTTGCCTCAAACATGGTACCTATCTGATAAGAAGAAATACTTGCAGTGTTTGGAACTTTAGGTGATAGTGATTATCTCCATGAGAATGTGCAATCCCTTAGAAGTTTTCGTGTGCTTTGCTAATTGCTGTATTTGCATTGTGTGGATTAGTGTCTACTTGTTGAAAGAATAAAGCAATCTTGACTATCTATTTCCTCAAGTATTGAAGTAGCTTCTTACTTTGCTTCTTTACCCTAGACCTGAGTGTTCTAACCGCAGCAAGCAGCAGTTAAGAGGCGGGTGTGTTGAAAGCAGGATTGCTAGGCCCCACTGTGGGAGTCTCTGATTCAGTAGCTCTGGCGGAACAAGTTCCTAAATATTATTGGTGATGCTATTCCAGGGTACAGACTGAGAAATACTGTTCTAATCTCACCTGTCCTACCTTGTGCAGACCCACTGAGGCTGCCCGCTGCTGCTGAAGCTTAACGCACTTGGCTTGGTGTGCAAAGTCCTAACAGCCTTAGCTGGTTCAGGCCTGACCTACCTTTGCAGTCCCGTTTCACTCTTTTTGAGCCCAACACTTAGGTTAAAAGGGATGGACGGCAGTGCTCGGCTGAATAAAAGCTCACTGTAGGGGCTTCTGCTGTTCTTGGACCTGGAAGCTGACCTCAAATTCACTTTCTTTTTAATCAGAACATTTATTGGTATATTTTAGGTATACATAATGATAACACTTATCATAGGGAACTTGCACCTGTACATGATATATCCTGACACTTAAATTCACCTTCTTGTCTAAGATTTTTCTTTTCTCTCTTTCTCCTTCCTTCCTTCTTCTGTGAGGTTGAACCTAGGGCCTTCCACATGCTAGGTAAATGCTCTGCCACTGATTACAGTCCCAGGCCCCCTTTTAAATTTTGGGACAGGGTCTTGGTAAATTTGATAGGTCTTCCACCACCTCAGCAGCTATTACGTATAGTAGCTGCCCTCTTCCTATTGTACTTTGCCCCCTCCCCTGTGTAACATCATGCCAAGATGGTTGTTCCCACCAAAGAATAAACCCTTCTTCCCAGTATGCCCCTGTTCCCACCTAGAAAGTAACCTAATACTCGCTCACCTCCTGTGGGACTGCATAACCTTTGTTCCTTTTCTTCAGCCCCATTGTGATTAAATGTGAGTTAATGGATAAAGATGCTTGTTAGTTTTGGGACACTAGATAAAAATCTGTAACAGACCTAAAGTCCCAAAGTAAACTACTCAACTCCTTGTTTGCCTGGAACTTATATTCCGGGCACCACAATTTTTAGAACAAGCTGCAAATGTCTGCTGACCATCAATACGTGACAGTTGACCACTAACCTTTGTCCCCTTTTCTTTAATTCTATATGTTAACTTCCCCCTCAACCCCCTATAAAAACAGCCTCAGATTCTGAGCCAGTTGCCTCTCTAAGCTATTTTGCTTTGGGAGTGCCGTCTGGCCAGACTAATAAAGGTCTGTTTTATTTTCCAACTTGTCCGTGTGTTCCTTCCTGGGTGTTCTTTGCTGCAGTCAGCTCCTCGGAGCGTTTGGTAAGGCCCTTGGTCTTACACTCCTACCACCTAGTGACATCACCGGCTCCTCCACTCCCTAGTCACTCCCTCACTCAACCCCACCTCTGCCCCTACAAACCCCACCCCAGTCTCTATAAAAGACTCTCCCTGCCCCAGCCATATTGCTTTTGTCTCTCCTTTGTTCAGAGACAGCCCGGCAGATCTATTCCCCTAATAAAGGCTTGTTGTGGCCTGGTCTGGTCTTGGTCTTTGGCCCTTTTACCTGACAAAATTGCCCAGGCTGATCTTAAATTTATGCTCTTCTTGTTTCAGCCTCCCACAGAGCTAGGATTACAGATGTGCACCACTGCCTTGGCCCAAGCTTTTCTTATGAGATCAAGCGATAATACACAATAAGATAGGCACCCCCTTGCCTTGCCTCCATGTTTTTTTCCACAAAATGTTTTGTTCCAGAAATGCAACAGTTTGTGCCGCAGAGCTCCTGCCCACAGTATCAAAATGTTTTGTTGGACTGTTTGAACTGCCCTTTCAGGAATGTTCTGTAACTCTGCCCCCCTGCTTCAGTGAGCACTCGCCTACCCCTAGATCCTGATAGAAGAAGGCTCCCATTTCTGGTCAGGTGCTCAGACTTCTGGAGTACGAATTCTCCTGAGCCCACTGGCATAATAGAAGGTTCTTCTCCATCTCTTCAAGTGACGTTTGGATTCTCAAGTCTTCAAATTCTGATAGCTGAGACCCAGAGGCATCACGCTGAGTGGCAACACTCAGCATTGAGCTGCTTCGCCTTGCCACAACACAGGGACCCTTTTCCTTGCAAAACTGAGGTCTCTACTTGCCCCCTATGCCCCAGGCACACTTTCACTTAAAGCTCCTGTAAAACCCTTGCCCCTGTGCTTTGGTGGTTTCTCCTGTCAGACTGTGCACCCTTGATGGACTATGGCTAACCCTTCAGGCACGTCCTGTTTCAAGCACGGTGCATACCCATCAGAGATGCCAAGTAAATACCTGATATTTCTTTTGGTAATGGGGATCGAACTCAGGACCTTGCACTGCAAGGCAGGTGTGGGACCACTGAGCTAACTACCCTGCAATACGTGATATTTCTTTCTTTTTCTTTTTGGTACTGAGGATCCAACTGGGACCTTGCGAGGCAGGCAGTGGAACCACTGAGCTAAATCCCCGGCCAATACCTGATGTTTCTTGAGCACTTAGCATTGAGTAGAATTGATTGTTATAATGTACTTTTGTTTATCGAGTTGGGCGGGGCTCATCACTTCCATTTTATAAATGAGAAAACCGAGTTTGAGAAGGGTGCAGCTGTCACCAGATGGGGCCCAAGCAGATTCCCTGAATAGAAGATGGGACCTTTTTTTTTTTTTTCCTACTGAACCCTTTTATTCTGTTTTGTGGATGCTCAGGGAAAACAGTTTTCCCATAATTCACTGTGGCCTGGACTCAATGACACCAATTTGTATCAGGGCCAATTTGGACCTAAGTTAAACTGCATTTTTCTCAGGTCTCTTCAGTTGATACATGGCACTTCACTGGTGATTTTTTTCATATGATCTTTAACAAGAATTCATAAGTTGCATTGATTATGCCCCAAGAGATGAGGGACCAGTGATAATCCAGATGGGCACCTCTGAAGAGGTCTGTCAGTTTCCTGTCCCGTTCTAGCCAGATTGTTTTGAAAACCTTGGAGAAAGACTGAAACTTCCACCAATCTGAGACTGTATGCGAGTTTTTACAACATTAACTGGAAAAAACAGGAACCCCAACATGACACCCGGTACAAGGCCACAGATGAAGTCATTAACCAAATGGGCACCGTGAGTTGCTGCAGTAGGCAGATGCTCCTTTACGGGACCTCAAAGGTCAAACAAAAGAACATTGCTGAACCCATTACGGAAAAGAATGGGCACCAAGCCTCAGTAATACTCTCTAATTCCGTGGCATTTCAGTGCTGTGAAGGCCTAAGTGTTTGTAAATTTGTCATGATGGTTGTGGTCTTGAGGCAATGTCTGAACTCTTTCCAATGGAGTAAAAATGGCTTCTGTTGTCCCTACAAGTATGGCAGCCGCACCACAGGTTGCAAACTCTGGAGGACCAACGTGCTTATGGAGAAGGCAAGACAAATCCTCTTACAGACCAAACATAAGTGCTGGGGTAGTTGTTTTCTGCATTCATGGGGGAAGGACTCCACAATAAAAATTTCAAAATCCATCCCTCCTCAACTGAAGTACTGCATCCAGGTTGTGATTGCATAAAGCTGCTGCCGACAAGGACCTTCTGATCTGGAGATGTGATGCTGTCTTGCTGAAAGCTGTGCAGCAGCCACACAAATAATGCTTCCTTTCACCAGCACTGGTAACGTGAGGTGATGTGTCTTGTTTTGAAGATGCTAGGATTGGTGGCCTCTTTTCATGAGCTTCTGAATCCATCATGTTGCTTCTGATTTCTCTTGTTCATGAAGGATTTTTTAAACTGGGACATCAGCTGAGCCTTGTATTGTAGGGAATGACAGGTTTCTGGTAACTTTCTCAACTTCTTCCATCGCTACCGGTCTGTTAGATTCTCTTTTCTGGAGTCAATTTTGATACCTGGATTTCCCATGGCCACAGCCACCAGCCCCACACCCAGTGCTGCCCGCCTGTCAGCAGGACAGCCTGCGAGCCAGGAAATGGGGACCTTAATTTGGCCCACCTAGTAGGTTCTTGACTCCTCAAGGAAGAATTTCAGGACACGTCAATGTGGGGGACAGGTGGGTTTATCGGGCAGAGTTAGAACCTAAGAGAGGACAGGGTGAGGACTCAAGCCTGGGCCACTGGAGGACTCACTCTGATGTGGTCCAGAACAGTGTCTCACAGAAGACAGTGCCAGTCTGAGTTATGAGGTGGGCCAGGGTCCGGCACAGCATCATTTTGGTGCTGGCTAGAGGTTCTTGAGCTCCAGGGAGGCTGGTTCCCACGAGAGTGTTCCTGCTGGGCAGGGGTTGCCTTGGTTTCCGTTCTGGAGTGACTGCCACGTTCTGCTCTCCTGGAACCTGAGGTCCTCACAGGTTTGGGGCCTTTCTTTCCCCATCATCCATTTTTTTCTTTACAGATCCTTCTAATTTCCTAAAAGTACAACTCAAAAGGGGGCGGGGTGGCTGGCAGATAAGACGTTGGGATCTTTACTGTTTGCCCTAATGAGGCAGAAAGAGCTACCAAACCTAATTTGGAATGGATAATTACTGTAAAATATTTGTTAATGAACTCTGTGCTAAAACCCTGTTTGAAACTTGTGTGAAATTGTCCCTGCTTGGAAACCGGGTGGGCCTCCTTCCTCTTGCGCGGGCAGCCTGCTCCCGGAGAGATCAGAAGTTAGCCTTGAAGTGTGTCTACCTAAGTACCCCGTACCTAATGCTGCTGTACCACACCCTTGCTACATCCTGTAATCGCAATTTACGCCGCCCTTGCCACCTAGTGCTGCTTTATCATGCCCTTGCCGCATTCCGGTGTGTAACCGCAAGTTAAACTGCCCTGTAGAAGGTGTAAGAAGGAGACACTGTCTTAACTCCTGGTCAGCCCATAAGGACTCATTGCCTGAGGTTGGCCATTGCCCGGCAATAAACTTCCTTTTTTTGTTTTACCCAAGTCTCCTGTCTCTGAAAGATCATTTCGACTCCCTTTGCCGCAACACTAAGAGCGTGCATCCGGGTTCAATCATCAGAGTGTTCATTCAGTCCGTTCGCAGGCTGTGTAGATAAGGGAAGAGAATTGACAGCAGGAGTCCGAGGCGACTTCCTTACACAAGTCTGGGTATCTCGGAAGACGGGACCTGGGAGAAGAGACGAGCGAGAGGGGTCGCAGCGTGGAAAAGCGGCCGCGGGCCGACTTCGGGGCACCGGTCCCACTTGCCCAGCGCCTCGCGAGGCGGAACCGGACTCCGGCGCGCTGGCCCCGCCCCCGGCTCGGCGGCGCCTCTCTGGTTGGGCGTGGCTCCGCCCGGCCGGCCAACGGGGAGGCTGCGTGCAGGCTCCGGAAGTGGAGGCGAGCGCGCGGGCCGGGTCTCTGCGGCGGCCCGGGGTCGGTCCTGCGGCGCGATGAGCTCCTTCCAGGGACAGATGGCCGAGTACCCGACCGTCTCCATAGACCGCTTCGACAGGGAGAACTTGCGGGCCCGCGCCTACTTCCTGTCGCACTGCCACAAGGGTGAGTGCGCCTTCCGCCGCTCGCCTCTCCCGGCCGGGTACTGCGCGGGCTTCAGGCCCTGCTCCTGCGCCTTGAGATAGCTTTCCTGGTGGAGGCCGGTCGGGGCCGGCGAGGGTCAGATCTTCCCCGTGTTTACCCTGTTCTCCTTTCCAGTGTGAAGAAAACAGGTCTCGGACCGACCTCGAACTTGAGGTAGAGCAGACGCGCACAGGCCCAGGCGTCAGACTCGGCCTGTGAACGGGACCGAGTGCACCCCGCCCCCTTCTTAGGTCTCCGGTCTGCTGCCGGCGTGAAGTCTTCTGCTCCGGGACGGGGTGGCGGGGTGCAGATGTAGCTGGTAGGTGGCGCCAGCTCGCTACGATTTCTCGGATGGAGACGTTAGGGATTAAGGGTCATCCAACTGAGCCTGGTTTGGGGCTAGGTGCCCAGGTCCAGGAAGCTGCCGGTTCTCAGAGCGTGAATAACAATTGCACAGTCATTGCCTGTTTTGCAAAATCGATTACCCTGAAACGTCACCAACTTTACCAACGAAGCAGTTTTACAATTCACTGTGCTAATCAGCCCCACGGTAGGCACTGAGCAGAGGTAAATCGCCGCACTCCAGCAGCCCCGCTTCCAGTGTGGCCTCCAGAATAGCAGGGATAGGGCGTCCCCAAGCCCCTGGGGAAGGGTGACTCGCGGTAACAAACCCTCGCGCGCACACATCTCCAGTGGTCAGGAGTATTTTAAAGTAAACTGTGGATACCAGAACACTGCTTGTCCTTACAAGGTTGGCATGAGGATCAGCTGCTGTCCTGCACGTGGGAATCACTTTAACCCGGTGTAGATTGTCGGTGCTGCTGCTTCTGGGAAATGCCTCTTTGTTTTTGTTACCCCAAAGGAGGAAAACCTGGATCTTCTCTTTATGTCAGCCAGATAGCACTTTGAGCCTCTTTGAGAGTCTGTTTATTCTTGTTTATTTTGTTTTATTTTTTTGAGATAAAGTCTGGCTTTGTAGTCTAAACTGGCTTTGAACTCAGTATGTAACCCAAGCTGGCTTCAGAGTTGTGGTGATCCTTCTGCCTTGGCTTCCTAAGTGCTGGGATTACAGGTATGTGCTACCATGCCCTGCACTGTTTGTTTATATATTTATTTATCTATTGTTTGGCTTTTGAGACAAAGTCTTGCTGTGTAGCCCAGGCTGGCATCAAACTTTCTGTGATCCTCCTGCCTCAGCCTCCTGTGTGCTGGGATTACAGGTATGTGCCACCACACTGGGCTGCTCTGTTCATTCTTTTTAAAAAAAATTTTTTTAAAGTTTATTTTATTTTATTTTTGGTAATGGGGTTTGAACTCAGGACTTTGCGCTTTCGAGGCAGGTGCGGTGCCAAGTTTATTCTGTTTTATCACCCTCAAAACTGCTCTGTTCATTCTTGAAAATAACATTTTCAGTTTTGTTTTGTTTTTATTGGGAAGCCAACTTCTGGATGAGGGTGCCCCTGTTTTTACTTTTTGGTGTTGAATGTCTGCACTTGAAATGTAATAGCTGTTAAAAGGAACATTCCCTATACCAAGCAAACTTAGAATCTGAGCAAAGAAAACCAAAATACAGTTTGTGAATCAGGAAGCTTCTAGAAACAGCAGGTTCTGAGAACTCAAGTAACAATATGATCTAACAGTATTTATAGAAAAGCAGAAGTGACCCACAGAAAACAGCTTCCTTGGTTACAGCTTAGTTGGTCACCCAGTTGGTGGATTACAGCCTAATTAGTTGATTACAGGGCTTTCTGCATCCAGCAGAGCTCAGTTACTGTGATGACATTTTTTTTCTTGAGACAGGATCTTGCTGTGTAGGTCAGGCTGGCCTTGGACTCACAGCAGTTTTCCTGTCTCAGCCTCACAAGTGCTGGGATTGACTGTAGGCATGGGCCAGCAGGGTGGCTTACTGTGATTAAATTTCATATTGCTTTGGCTTTTTTGTCACTTAGTGAATCAGTAGTCTCCAACAAAACTTATGTAGTATAGCAGTGATTAAAGTATAGTTTAGGAGCTTGCCCTTCATGTTTAGGATTAGTGAGTCTGGAGAAGTAATTCATCTAAAGGAATTTGTGAGCTCATTGTATGTTTGTACATTAAGCAAGAAGTTGACTCTTCCTACTGAGGAGCATTGTGTAAGAATTTTCCTGTTTTCTGATCACATGTTTATTCAGCCAGGATGTAAACTCAGCAAGGGCCAGAGTGCACCTTCTGCATTTGGAGGTCTCTTGCATTGCTCACTAGTAGCTTCGGGCTTTTTGCGGACATAAGAGTTCTTTTGTTGGGAGCAGTCTCCCCAGATCTGTGTGTTTAGACCCTAGTCCCTATGTGACTGTATTTGGAGGTGGGGTTTCCAGGAGGTGATTAAGGCTGTCAGAGAAAGGGCTCAGCTGTCCCCCGGTGCCCTCGAGGGCGCTGGTCTCATAGGAAAGAGGGAAAGGGGTCTCGCCTGTGCCTTGGTCCTGACCTTCCCAGCTGCCTGAGCCGTGAGACACTGCTTCTCTGTTTGCAGTCATCTCGCTTCTGTTATTTTGTTACGGAAGCCTGAGCTGACTAGTGCAGAATAGCTGGCAGTCTAAGGACTCTTCTGCTAGAGAAGAAGGGATGGAAACATGTCAGCATCACTTTGGACATAACTGAGCATGGGCCGTGGGCTGCCTGGAGCCTGACGCTGCGTTCAGAGGAGGCTTTGCTGAGCATCAGTAAGTGCAGAGGTGAGAGGGTGCCCTTGGCTTGAGACAGGGCCTTCTGCTGGGAAAGACCCTTTGGGGACAGTGGCAGATGATTTCCTCCAGTCCAAAGGAAAGCTCTCCGGAAAGCAGCTGATCAGCCACACTGTGTGACCACCAGGTAGGAAGGGACTCAGTGCGGAGGGCGGGGGTCATGTGCAGCAGGTGTAGGGTGCTACCTGCTGAGCTAGCCTGGGGCCTGAGCAGAGTCCTCACGGCCTCCTTTTGCCCCATGAAAACTCGTTAGAAACACTGAGTGCCTGGTACACGTGCCCTGGGACATTCCCACAGCCCTCAAGCCTGGACCAGGTATGACGGAGGGGCTGGCAGCCTGTCTTGGGGTGGGGAAGGGGTAACTGCCTTGTGTTCTTTCTTGTTTAAAGATTCCCAGTTATAAGCTGAGGATGTTGGCACACACCTGTAATCCCAGCACTCTGGGAAGCTGAGGCAGGAGGATTGAAACTTTGAGACCAACCAGAGCAATTTGGTGACTTAGTGAGACCTTTTCTCAAAATTTCAAAAGGCTGGGGATTTAGCTCAGTGTGAAGGCCCTGTGTTCAATCCACAGGACTCCACTCAACGCCACAAAAGTCCTCAATTATAAACTGAAGAATTAAAGGCGCGCGCGTGCGTGCACGCGCGTGCGTGCGTGCGTGCGTGTGTGTGTGTGTGTGTGTGTGTGATGGTAATTAAGTGGCTGGAATTGGTTTAATTTAGCAGTGTTTGGTGATTATCGTCCAGGCTCCATAAGATACTAAGGGTCCAGAATGGACTAGCATGCCCTGTCTGTTTGATGGGTCTTGGACTTCACTGTTAACGCGCGTTTGTTCATTTGGGGACTGGAGCAGGGTGGCTGGTGACCTCCCACCTCTCTGTCCTGTGGCCACAATGCTGAGAAGGAGATGGGACATGCCTGGCTTCAGCTTGAATGTTGCCAGCAGATTCCACGGAAACAAGCTTTGAATTTCTGGATGGGTTTGCATAGGTGGGCAGCACTGAGTGGTCTGGCAGAGCATGGCCCAAGGCATGGCTGAGTTGCAAGCAGAGTGGAGGGAGGGGCTGGAAGCAGCTGTCCCCTTCGGTGGCTGCACACCGCAGTTTAGACTCTGCCCTGGGATGCCAGGGGCCCACTCTGTAAATTGCTTTTGATGGCTCAGGACCAGGCAACTTTTAGTGATTCCTGCCCTGATTACAGGAGAAGGAGCTGGAAGCCTTGTGAATCAATCCTCTGGGAAGTGACCTTAGAAGAAGTATTTTCTCCTAATAGGGACCTAAGGGAGGGCTCAGTTTCTTTGGGCTAACGAATTTTCTGAAAAAAGAATGTGTTTTTGATTTTCAGTTCTTTCGTTTTTAGATCACATGAAAGGACTAAGGGCACCGACTTTGAAAAGAAGGTTGGAGTGCAGGTAATTTACTTTACTGTGTGTGGGTCTGTGTGGTGAAGTAGACATTGAAGTTGAGGGAGGACGGCAAGACAAAAATGCATACCGTAGTCAGGGGCAGTCTGATGAATGTGCACAGAGCGAACCCTGCTGGGCAGCTGGGGAGACTGAGCAGCACAGATAGCCCAGGCTCTCTGCCTCCTCCCGGAGGTGACCCTGTTCTGACTGTGGTCATCATGAGCTGACTCTGTCTTTGAACTTCATATGAGTAGAATCAGACCGAATAGGCTCTCTTTTATTTGCTTTCACTCAACGCTGTATTTGTGGCATTTATCCCTGATGTTGGCTACAGCAGGAACTTGTGTGTTTTCATTCCTGGCAGAGAGCGTGTGTGTGTGAGTAGGTGTCTCGTTATCAGTCCTGTGGTACCACTGTGTCTTTTCTTAAAATTGAACTCTTGGGTTCTTTTTCTTCAGCCATTGCCTACTAAGTTCTAAATTCTCTGGATATTCCTTTGGAAAGGCCCCTTGTGATTTCTGAACCAGAAGCTATCGGGCTTCTTGGCTAATCAATAGCAGATGATGATAACTAGTGTTCTCTGAATACTTACCATCTTGAAGTTGTTACCATGAAGTGAGCTAGCTCAGTGTTGCAGCCATGGTCTCTGGAGGTGGAGAAACTGAGGGTGGCACTCGGAGAGGTGGAGGGATCCAAACTGTTACGCTGGTGGGCTCAGAGGAGTTCGGACTCTGAAGTCTGAGCCTCAAACAGAAATGGAAGCAGCCTGATACAGAGATCTTGTGGATGGGGGTGGGCCCATGTATGAGTGAGCATACTCATAGAAACGGAGAGGTGGAGTTAAGAGGACATTCTTGAAACATCTGGTAGGAACATCCTGCAGCTCAAGCAGTTACATTGCTTAAGCAGAACATCTTATGGCCAAAACATGGCAGAGGGGCTTGGCAGCAGACTGTTAAGCATTATTTCCTTGTCAAAAGCGCTGTGAATTTCTTAGTGCAAGCATTTTTTGAGTGCCTATGATGGCCGTCCATGGAAGCTGAGGATATACAGTGTGTGGCAAATGAAATCTCTACTCTTTTGGACCTGACCTTCTCATTAGAGCCTCTTCATAACCATTTGAATAGATACTATTATTTCTCTTTTACAGATGAGCAAACTGAGGAGCCAGAGAGGTTAAATTAGTTATACGGTGTCATATAGCCCATAAGCGACAGGACCAGGATTTCAGCCAGATCTGTCTGACTTCAGAACCTGTGTATCAGCTGTCCGTGGCTGCATAATGAATCATCCCAAACAAAGCACCTTAAAATGGAAACATAACCCCCAGTGTCTGAGTGTCAAGAATTGTGACGGGCGCAGTGGGGATGGCTGGCTCCTGGCTGCCCAGTGTCAGGGGACTGAAATTATCTGAAGAGTCACTCAGAGTTGCCACCTGCCTGGGCTAGGACAGCTGGCGCTCTTTGGGCACGTCTAGTCTGGAAAAGGCCTGTTAGGACCAGCGGCTTGAGAGAGCTGGCCTTCTTTTTTGTGCATTAGCCCATGTTTGCAGCGCATAGTGTTTACAGTGCTTGTGTGCAGTTGGTACGAGGACATGGCACATCTCAGCTCCTTTCATCCCTCCATCTCTCGACCCCTCCCCACTTGAGGAAGGTTTCTCTGCTTCCTGTTATCTGTTTGTGCCCATTTGTATGACTGGAGTTTCTCTCCCAGAGAAACTGTGCTATTGAAGTGACTCAGGGTTAACAGGCGTGAGTCCGAGAGAGGGTGAGCTCAGGAGGCCCTGCAGCGACGCGCACGCGCTCCGCGGTGGAGGCTGCTGCAGCAGTCTGCCCTGGGACAGGGTGGGCAGCCTGGAGCCCTCCTGTCCGTGGAGGAAGTGAGGTGCTGCTTTGTGGAGACAGAATGGCTGGAGTAATAGCAGTGCGACCAGCTTAGGGAGGGCGACCTGGCACGGACTGTATTCTTGGCCTGTAAAACTATGCTACTGACTCTCACATTTATTATGAAATTAGTTTTTGTTCACTAAATATATATATATAGGTAGGAGGTGGGGCTGTAGCTCAGTGATACAGCACTGTCTTAGCATGTGCAAGGCCCTGGGTTCAATTGCAATACTGCAAAAAAATAAATAAAGCTAAATACAACGGATTCACAAAAAGTATAAAGCAGAAGTTTGTGTTGCTAACACTCTTCTCTCTGTTCTTCATTAGTAGCTTAACACTTGGTCTCTTTCCAGATATGCCTGGTCACGTACACTGTGTGTGTGTGCGTGCATGTGTGTGTGTGCATGCGTGTGTGCGGGAGATGAGCCCCAGGGCCTCATGATAGGCAAGCGCTTTACCACCGAGCTGCGCCCCCAGCCCACAAATGAGTGTTTTTAACATAAAGATGGCTGAGGGATTTCTTAGGGGGTCTGAAGACACAGCAACAGCCCCTTATACTCTGGGGGCCGAAATAGTGGCAATCAGTGTCTGGGAGAGGCTCTCATGTTTTGAGCCAGCAATTTCCGAGTCATTGCAGAAAACTGATGTTTGGAAAAATGCATTTCTTTGTCACCAGGACAGTTCATCGTGTGTTATACTGAAGCTTGTTTTTGTCTTTTCCTTTCAGCTTGAAGGTCCACCTGTACTGCTCTCCTGTTACTAAGGAGTTGTTGTTAACTAGCCCAAAATACAGATTTTGGGAGAAACGAATTGTAAGTTCCAATTTTGAATAACACTAATTCTTTGTATAGGTGGAAAATATTTTTAGAAGGAGATAGAAAAAAGCACTGGAAGTGTTCCGAGGCCAGTCCCTGGCACACCAGTTACACATGTCATCATCAGAACAGTGACACTTAGTCTTTTACAGTTCTGCCCTTTAGGAGAGGTCTGTGTTTGGTTGTTGTTAGTTTTTCTTGTTCTCAGAAGTTTGAACTAGGTCTTTAGTTCTGTTCATTTAATCTTGCCGACTCCAGCTGAGATAATTCCGACACTTTAAAGTATGAATGTGTACCAGTGTCACTGCTGTGTCTTTCTGTTTAGATCCTGGGTGAAGCCAGGAAGAGTAAATGTAATCTGTGGGTGATAAGGAAAGACCAACGAACAGAATAATAAAAACCAGTGGTAACACAGTTTGACAGAGTAAAATGGATCTCTCCAGCGTAAGGTAGCACAGGGAGGTCATCAAACAGAAATCTGGTACATAGGAAATGCAGACTTGCAGAAAAGCCCTGTTATTATGAGTGGATTTAATTCCACTCTTGACCAAAGGATAAATTCCAAGTTTATGTTAAAAAAGAAAATAACTACTTGGGAGGCTGATGCAGGAGAATCACAAGTCTGTACCCAGACTCAGCCTGGGCAACTTTGTAAGACCCTGTCTCAAAATAAAAATGGGCTGGTGATACAGCTCACTACTCCTTGGGTTTAGTCCCTAGAACCGCAGAAATAAAATTTGAAAAAGAACCACTAGTATTAGTGTACAGTAGATGTGGATAAAACAAAAGACTCAGTGAAAGTTTGGCATTTTTGTTTTGTTTTGAGACAGGGTCTGACCTCACCGTGCAGCCCAGGCTGGCCTGGAGTGTGCCACTGTCCTCCCACCTCAGCCTCCCAGGTGCCGGGGTCACAGGATGCACCACCACCCCTGGCTGGATAAGCAAAGGCTGAGATCAAAACGAGACAAGAAAACCCAGATAAACAGGAAGGGAGGCAGAGGTACCAGACAGAAGCCCAGTATGTCAGAGATCAGTTTTGTCTCAGATATAAGTAGACATGGAAGCCAAAAGCAAACCAAACACCTCAGGTTAGGGAGGATGCTGTTCACAGTGCAGGGAGCAGTGGGCAGAGCAGATAGTGATGCGGTTGGCAGAGTAACCTCACCACATCGAGTGGTACCCAGCAGTGGTGTGGCTTCCCAGGAGCACGCTGGGTGAGTCAGGGCCTCTGTGCCTTTGGCCATCAGTGGCCGCAGCTGGCAGAGAAGACTGTGCCAGTGTCCCGGAACCTACTTGCTGTCTGGCTCGGGCCCACATGAGTCCCACCGCCTTTCCCCTCTGCCCCACACTGGGCAAGTGGTTAGAAAAACCCCAAACCCTACCCTGCCTTGGTACCAGTGTGAGGTTCAAGGCGGGTGTCCTCCTGGACTGGTGTGCACCCCTGTGGTCCAGTGCTTCTGTCCCCAGCTCCGAAAAAACAAAACCCAGAAAACACCACCACCAACTGCCCAGTCCCAGTAGGGCAACAACCTGTGAAATATTTCAAAATAACTGCGAGAGTCCGGAGGTTCCCAGCTTGTGGAAATGATGATGTTTGAGGAGCGGGAAATGCGGAGAGCCCTGGTTTGATCAGCACATCCTTGTTCATGTGTGCAGTTACCGTGCATACCCCACAAATGTGGACAGCGTGTTGATAACTGCAGACTGCTCGCGTTGCCATGCTGGCTCCCCCCAGACAGCGCTGTGTTTGCCTGCTCGGCTTCCTTCCTCTGGGAGTCTCAGCAGCTAGCCTGGCCATCATGGATGCCATCTGTCTGCCTCCCTGTTGCGAGCAGCTGCAGCAGCAGAGCTCTGGCCTCTGGGATGAGGCCTGTAGTCCCGCAGAAGGGTAGGAACCGGAAGAGCAGAGATGGTTGCCCCTCGGCCCCCACAGGAGGAGCCTTGCTGCTGCACCAGCCAATGGAGCCGGGTCAGCATGAGCTGCCACAAGGGCTTCTCCTTCTGAAATAAACGAGTTAACCAGCAGCCCCCCGGCCCTGCCCTAGCCTGCACTTAAACTTTACCCCTTTTTCTCCCTGGACTGCTTGTTTAAAGTGATGAGTTAACCAGCACCTAGCTTACCTTGTAGTTAAAAACAAAGGACGAGACATATCTCGTCTGTGGTTAAAAACAAGACAGGACATGTTATATTGTGGCCCTGACCACAAAGATAAAAATTTTTTGCTGGGTCCCAAAAATTAGATTTTAATCTAATGTACAATCTGCTTCTATACCCCTGTGCTTGCTCAAAGATGAGATCATGACATTCTCTTGTGTGGTTTTTCCCTTTAAAAACGGCTTCCCTGCTTGATCAGTACCAAGAAAGATGGGAGCCAGAGTTCGTCCTTGGTCACCGGCTATTAAAGAGACTCCTTTAAACATTTCTGTGGCGCGAGTTTTTTCCGTGAGACATATGTAGCACTTCACTCGAGATTCCAGCCCTAACGTGGGGCGACTTGAGGAACAGGATCCCAGCTGAGATGCAGAAGAAGCCTCCTACCCAGCCAGGGGAGCAAGAGCAGAGCGGCAGTTGCTGCTGCAGAGCTTACCGACCGCTCCTCTTAGACACTAAACACAGAGGCAGCAGAAAGTGAGTGAAGATGTAGGAGCTTTGGCGGGCATAATAAACACGAACTAGTTCAACAGAACAACAAAAAAGAAAACTGTGGCTTTTGCTTGTTTGATTTTTTGCAGTCCTGGGGATTGAACCCAGGGCCTCACACATGCGCATGGTCAGCAAGTCCTCCACCACTCAGCTGCAGCCCCCGGGCTTCTTTATTTTTCGTTTTGAGTCATGGTCTCACTGAGTTATCAAGGCTGGGGTCAAACTTGCAATCCCTCTGCCTCGGCCTCCCAGATAGCTGGGATTCCAGATGTGTGGAGCAAAAACGGGTTTAAACTCCACAGCAGAGCAGTATTGGGTAAATCCATGGAGCATTTACAACAGCTGGCCACATACCCTGTCACAAAAGAAGTCTTAAATCTTGGTGCTCCATGTTTTGTGACTATAATGCAAGGATTTGGGGGATCAGGAATTAAAGGGCAGCTAAAATCATTTAGCTTTGACCTGTCGAAGTCAAATAATGGTAAATAACCCCCAGGTTAAAAATGAAACTATGAAGAAAACATAATGCCAGGACTGATGGACAGTGGAAACGGGATGTATCAAAGTGTGTGAACATAGTTCACTTAGCACTTGAGGGAAACTGACAGCATTAAACAGATTTCCTTTTTTTTTTTTTTTTTTGGTACTGGGGATCAAACTCGGGACCTTGTGCTTGCGAGGCAGGCAGTGGAGCCACTGAGCTAAATCCTCAGCCCTTAAACAGATTTCTTAGGAAACAAAGCCTAAAGAAAGTAAGACTTCAATGCAATAAACAGAAAAGGAGCAACAAAGCAAACCTGAGAAAAAGATACATATAAAATATGGAATGAGAAAAAAGGAAAACAACAAGGTAGTAGGATTTCCCCCTGAAAACTAATATACTAGTATATTTAATTATTTAGACAAAATAGGTAAATATCTGGAAAAATAGAAAAATACCAAGTTGAGGCAAGAAAAGTGGGAAGTTTGAATAAAATCAGCAACCATTGAAGAAATTTGAACAATTATCAGCTCAGTGTGGCAGTGCATGCCTGTAATCCCAGCACTCAGGAGGCTGAGGCAGGAGGATCACATAGAGTTTGAGGCCATCCTGGGCTACGTAGTGAGTTCATGCCAGCCTGAACTCATAGTGAGACCCTGTCTCAAAAACGCAAAACAAAAACCCAACTATCAGAGATCTCTTCTCCAAAAAAGCTCCAGGCCTCAGTGGTTTTATGTATGCTGTATACCAAATGTTAGAGAATAAACAATCCCTGTGCTATATAAGTTGTTGTAGGAAATAATAATAATAAGATAAACTGCTCAGCCTTGGTTGCAGAGTAGACCGTGTCAAGTCTGTGGGGGAAAAGCCATTTCATATATGAACACAGTGAAAATCCTGAGCTAGTATCTTAACTGAGGAACAGTGTTAAATACCGCATCACAAGATGTTTTGTTCCAGAAACGCAAGGATGTTTTAACGTCTGCACCTTCATCACTGTGAGTTTTATGACACTGGTAGATTGAAAGATACAGAACTCATTCCTCCATCAGGTGCTTGTTGAATGCCTCTTACACAGCAGTCACTGTCCTGGTGAAACGGGGCAGCTTTCAGGTCCAAACCCAAACACAGAACACAGGACGGTGTGTTGTCACAAAGGCTCTGATTCAGAAGGGGAACGGGGAGCGTAGGAATGGTGGGGTGAAGGAGAAACGAGTTTGTGGGGTGGAGTTGCCATGTTGAAGGGTAGATGCATGGATAAGTCATTTAATACAGATTGCCAAATCCTTGACAAAGGTATTATTTTTGTTTTATCATGTTTTCAAACTGAAAATACTTGCTGTAGTGGAATCAAATTGTTGTATACAGGGTCTGCGATTTCTGCCCTTAGTACCTCTGGTCTGCCCCCTTTCATTGTTTGCGATGGTAAAAGAGTGAGAAGCTGTGGAAAACTGATCCATCTATGCTCTCTCATTTTAACAGGTATCGATTGAAATTGAAACTCCTACCCAGATATCTTTAGTTGATGAAGCATCAGGCGAGGTAACTAGACACTAAATATTGTGGTTCTTTTGGTACTAAAATGATTGCTTGTCTTTCTCCTTGACCTTGAATGCTCATTGAACCCTAAGTAAATGTTTTAACTGAGTGAGTGAGGCCCTTTGGGCTCTGGTCACAGACGCACCCGCCTTAGCCTGGGTGACTGAGTCAGCCGTCGTGGGCCTCTCACAGTCTGGATGCTCAAGGCCCAGGCCGAGGCTGTGCACATGTCTTGCTTTCTGGCTCACTGAAGGCTGTCCTTTCCCCGGCGTCCTCCCGTGGTGGAAAGGGAAAAAGCCTCCTTCACAGGGCACTAATCCCATTCACGCGGGCTCCCCCTTCAAGAACTAATCACCTCCAAGGGGCTCCGGGGGAGGCTGGGGTGTCAGGGAGCACATTTGGTCCGTCACAGTGATGTGTGCATTTCCCAGACTGAAGTGACTGGAATGGGGCATATTTTGTCAGAGTTGCTCCTTTTCAGAGTTACATGCTAATGATGGGAACTCCGGTTACTGGTGATACCACATGACCCCGTGGTCACATGTCAGCTTATTGTAATGCTACGGATATAAAATGGTGCTTTCTGGGTTTTGTTTTGGTCTTTGAGACAGGGTTTGCTGTGTAGCTCAGGTGGACCTTGAACTCCTGATCTCCGCCTCATCCTCCGAGGTGAGGGCTGGGTTTACAGGCCCGTGCTGCCATGCCCGGCCGGGGTTACTGGTTTTGAAGCCATTTTGTGCATATTGTCATTTGTATCCCGAATTATTTTCTTAAATATAAAAAAATCACTGCTGTGGATGAACTTTGAGACCATACTCCTAAGTGAAATAAATCGGACACACGTTTAAATACCACATTGTTTCTCTGGCGTGAGAGACTGAATGCAGAAATAGGACTGAGATGTATAAGGGATGCCGGGAAATGGGAAGAAAATATCCAAAAGGGAAGGGGAACAGGGAGCAGGGGGGCAGAAAGGGAGGGAGGGACAAGAAAAAAGTGAAAATAGAGGAAAAAATAGAAACAAAGCTTCTGTACACAGGGAGGGAGGGGGCTGGGGGGGCTGGGATAAAATAAAATAAAATTTATTTTAAAAATAAGGAATATGGTATCTAAAAAAGATCACTGCTGAAGTATAAAAAATTTATTTTTCATTCTTAAATCTAGAAGTACAACTTGGTGAATATATCACTTTCATAGTGAAGTGGACCATCGAGCAACCTTTTTAAGACAGAAAGCAGAACAAAATAGGAAGCAGCATGGTGGCTCATGCCCAAATCTCAGCCCTCAGAGATTCAAGGCGAGCCTGGAATACATAGCAAACTCTAAAAATCAAAACAAAAAAGCCTTCTAGTGCACTTAGGACGAGGAGGGATTGTCCTGTCTTTTGACAAGTCTGGTTAGTATTTGTTCCCTAATCTGGTTGTGCCATGTTGCTGTGTCGTGTGTAACTCTGAAGATGTCTTGGGTCATGAAAACGTGATCAGAATGGAGATGACTTTTTCAGACACTTCTTGGAAGATCAGACAGTTGAATTATTCCCCTCATCCGGTTTGCATCCTTAAGGAAAACTACAGAGCCAGTTTGGAATGAGCTAGCAAGGAAGGAGAGGGTAAGAGGTAAGGAGGCGTGAGCCTTTCGGAGTGCCATCCTGGAACATCTCCCCAGGTGTGCCCCGGCCGGTGTGCAGCTCGCCATGCCCAGGCGTATTGGACAGAGGCACTCTGTGAGCCAGCAGTGGACAGCAAGTGGCTCTTGCTGGCAGCGTCTTGAGGCCCCTCGTGGTCCTTGGTTTCGTGTGCACCGTGCCTCTGTGCACTGTTTGTCCAGCCCTGGCCACGGGGACGCCCGTTTGAAAGGGGCATTTGGAGTGAATTATGTTGCCCTGGTGGTAGAATGCCTGCCTAGGACGCACAGGCTCTGGGTTTAGTCCTCAGCACTGCAAAAGAAGAAGATAAGAATAATATTATGCTGAAGAGAGGAGTCGCATATTTGAGCAGGGGGAAGTTTCCCAGCTCTCTCTGTATTACCGGCGTCCAGAGAGCAGCCATACCTGGCGGGTGCTGCCTTGAAGGATGCAGTGTGGTGAATTGGGACTGGGCTACACGTAGGCACTTTTATGTTTGTAATAATGGCACTGGTAAGATATTCATATGCTGTTTGAAATGCACAACTCATTGGCTTTCAGTATATGCACCAATTTGTGTATCCATCTCCCCAACCAGAGCTAGAGTGATTTTTGCCACCTGAAAGAGAAACCCAGAAGGCTCATTCCCTCACCCCTCCTGTCCTCAGCTGCCAGTCCTCACTGTTCACCTTGCCTGTTCCGGACCCTTCACGGGCCCTTCATGGGCCGTGCAGCCCATGGTCTTGGTGTGCGGCCCCTCTCCCTGAGTGCAGTTTTCCAGGGCCATGGTGCACACGGGTTAGCTGGTATTGTATATGTAGTGTGTCTCAATACTTCATTCCTTTCTGAAGTATCCCGCTATATAGGTAGACAGTCAGTTTATCCGTTTGTCAGTTGGTAGACATTTAGATGGCTTCCACTTTTGAGCTGGTGCGAATAATTATGTTGTGAACATTTGTGTGTAAATCTTTATGTGAACATAAATTTTCAGTTCTCTCGAGTGTACAAGTAAAAGTGGAACTGCTGAGTCCTGTGCCCACTCCGTTGTACAGTGGACCAGGGGTCCACTTGTTTGCAGCATCTGGAGAGCATGAAAATGGGGAGAAAAGACATGGTCGTAAGGATAACTTCTGTTACTGCTTTTTCTTTGTTTTCTTTTTAGGAGGAAGAGATTGTTGTGACTCTCTTACCAGCTGGCCACTGCCCGGGATCAGTTATGTAAGGGAGCTCATCTATTTTGCCATTTTATTATATGTAAATATGTATTATATTTGTGGAAATACATTTCTAAGGGCCTAAAAATTAGGTGTCGGGAGATTTGACTTTTTCTGGCAGTATCTTTAATTTTTGTTTCCATGTTACATGTAGGGGACTGAGGTGAGGATCAGTTCCTTTTAGTGAAAGTCTTCAGTGGCAATTTGTCATGACTTTGCACTGTCTGGTCACATGGACGTTTCTCTCCATAAGCAGAAAAGGGCTCAGTGTGTGATTTCGAGCGCTCATGTATTACAGGAAACACCTACACAACCCACCAGTGTCAGCATTCTGTTATTTCTTTCTACCCAAGAGAAAAGATGGCAGTTTAGCGCTGGGTATGGACTTAGGGCTGATGAAATTCCATCAACACTGTATTGTAAAGGGTATGTTTGGCAAGATGTGTTTGCTTCTTTAGGACTTATTCGAAACTTGGAAGTCACCGAGGTTTGTTTTCTTTCCAGGTTTTTATTTCAGGGTAATAATGGAACTGTCTTGTACACAGGAGACTTCAGGTTGGCCAAAGGAGAAGCTGCTAGAATGGAGCTCCTGCACTCTGGGGGCAGGTACTGGGCCGTATGCAGTCCTGGATCATATAAAGTAGGGCCCACTTGGCTTATGGAGTGCTGTTAGAGCCAAGCGTGGGGCACATACCTGCGACCCCACTGCTCTGGGAAGCTGAGGCAGGAGGGAGGATCATGAGTTTGAGCCCAGGCTGGCCCCTCAGTGACTTGGCAAAGCCTGTCAGTAAGACATGGAAAGGGCAGGGGATGCAGCTCAGTGTGAAGGCCCTGGGTTTAATCCCTAGTCCTGCTCTTCTCCCACCAAACGCAAGCCTTCGTTTCCAGTAGAAATCAAGCTGGATTACAATAATTCTAATAGAGCAAACTTTTCTCCTCCAAATGGGGCAGTGGAAGGTTCTGTATGTTGATTTGGGTAGTAGATCCAGAGTCACTGGATCATTCATGCAAAATCTCTATTGTGTGGAAATCATTTCTCAAGAAAGCTGATGAACAAAATAAACAGAGCACCCAAGCAGAGTGCGTTGCCCTGTAAAATCACTGAGAGTACGTTTTACACATACTTGATGTCATCAGATGCCTGACACCAACTTTCTTTTCAGAGTAAGAGACATCCAGAGTGTGTATTTAGATACGACTTTCTGTGACCCAAGATTTTACCAGATTCCCAGTCGGGTAGGCCTGCGTGGGGCTGGGGGTGGGGACTGGGGTGGCCGGGACTGGTTAGCGCTGTGCAGGCCACAGCTCCGGTCACTGCTGTCATCCCTGGTTGGAAACCTGGGAGCGTTGGGAGCAGAAGGGTAAGGGAGGCTCTGAAAGTGTTAACTGTCTTACAAATCCCACCTAGGGGGAGTGTTTAAGTGGAATTTTAGAGCTGGTTCGGAGCTGGATCACTCGGAGTCCATATCACGTGGTATGGCTGAACTGCAAAGCCGCTTACGGCTACGAGTATTTGTTCACTAAGCTGAGTGAGGAGCTGGGAGTCCAGGTACTGTACCGCCCGCGCTGCTCCTGTCCCTTCCCCTGGGCCGCCTTTCCTTCCTCTCCACAGCCGCGGATTTGATGGCAAGGAGGAACCACAGCTGCAGAGATTGGTGGCCCTCCACCCCTTCCCTTCCTTAATAGTCCCTTCTACCTTCACGTCATCTCTCTTCTTTAGTTTTTTTTGTTTTGTTTTGAAGCGATGAACTTTTATCAGTTCATATTTATTTTATAAGTGATTGGGTTTCACTGTGGCATTTTTGTACAGGCCCATAATATTTTTATCATGTGGAGAAGACGGAGTTTTGTTTGTTTTGTGGTAGGGGTGTTGAATCCAGGACCTTTGGATTGCGCTACTTCCCCAGCCCCTTTTTACATTTTTAATTTGAGACAGTCGCTCATCAAGTCACTAAGTTGCCCAGCCTGCTCTTGAACTTTCAGTCTTCCCGCGGTGGCTTCCCGGAGCGATAGTATTACAGACCTAAACCGTTAAGCGCTGCTGAGAAGATGAATTTTTGATAATGACACTGAACCAAAGGAAGTACTGGACTAGTTGGATCTTTAAATCCTACTTAATTTTGTGCTGTTTAGATCCCCCAGCTAACAAACTTGTGCTGAGAGCTACTGTTGTAGATGAGGTGTTTCAGTAGTTAAGATGATTCAGTTTTTCTGCAATTTCAAAAGTTCCTCTCTTTTCCCTTCCCTTCTACTTTGTGTCTTTATTTCATAAGTCCCTCTGTCCTTGGTTTCTTCCTTTCTTGTGTGCTTTTATCTAAATATGCTGGTATCAAGTTGCCCATTCTCCATTTTGGGAAGGATTTGTTTTTATTCTGAGATTTCCTTTCCTTTGATTTTGATGTTAAAATTGCCTTTTAAATGAAAATCACAGTGGTGACAGAGCATGTTCACACGCTCATGTGTGTGTAGATAACACCGTCTGGGTTTTTCCCTCATGCCTGTCTTGGTGAAATAGAAAGATAGCAATTACTTGTCAGTCCCAAATGGATGATGCCACTTGGTGTGTGGAGTAGAACATGCTGAGAGCTGGGCTCCAGAACTGTTACGGGGCAGCCATGGCCTGGGAACGAGGGAGCAGGGGGCTTCTCTGGGGCAGCCCTCTCCTAAGCCTGTGAATCCTGGTGGGGACGATTTCAGATTGGTTGTTTAAGAGAGAACAATGAGGTTTTTGACTAAGGGATGTAAGTGACCACTGGTGCAGCTTTTCTGGTCTTCATTTTCTTGTGAAAATGAGTTTCTGTAGCTCTGTTTGTACATCTCAGAAGTTATCCCTTTATCTCTTCCCGAGGGAGCCCAGAAAAAATTTCACTGTTGCTTCTTATTGATAATTAGTAAACAAATAGTGAGCGGAGTGGAACACAGGTTAAGGAAGTGACTACACTTGTGTTTGTCTTTTAAATACCTATCTTGGTAGTAATTAGCACAGCGATTTGACGTTATTCTAACCTGTTACTCAGACATCAAAGTGAAAATGTTTCCTTTTACCATAGCTTTATCCTCATGTGAATGTAGGAGCTTTCGTGCAGGTGGGCTTAGCACTGTAAAATGAATCAGCCTTGTAACTCTAGGCGTGGCTGTGGTTTGAGAAGTATTTGTGCCATCCTCCTTAACCCAGCAAAGGGGTAGCGCGGGGATCCGGGCCCTGCTCCGGTGTACGCTTTCTTCCCCACCAGCCCCTCTCTGAGAGGAGGGAAGTCTCCTTGCGAACCCAGGCTGGAGAATGGAGCTTAACATATGGCACGTGCACACTGAAGGTGACCCGGATGACTCCTGAAGGGCTGGAGGAGTCTCAGCGGGGTCAAAGGAAGTCCGTGAATAAGCTGGGTGCTTTGCCTCTTTGCATCCTGGCAGAATATTAATGAGCCCTGAGGTACCGATGCGGAAGTTAGCTCACTATCTAGCTGCCGCGTCCTGTACTCAGCCTTGAACAGTTTGTTCTGGGGAATCCATTTCAGGTAATGGTGTGCATGTGTTATCTCCTGCAGGTTCACGTAGACAAGCTAGACATGTTTAGAAACATGCCTGATATCCTCCATCACCTCACCACGGACCGAAGCACCCAGATCCACGCCTGTCGGCATCCCAAGGTAGCTGTGAGATGACTGTGCCTGTGGTGTGTGTGAGGTCTGCAAAAAGGACTTTAAGAGGGAACCTCAGAAATTCCACCTGGAGGCTTGTCACCTTACAGACATAAAAAGCAAGGCTCCGACCAGCCCTGAGTTGGAAGCTGGAGGCCAGGCCACTGCATCGCTGCATTCCATGAAGATGTTAGTTCGTCACAGTTCATCACAGACACGGATCCTTACAGTTGTTAAACCTATCTCTGTGCATTTGAGAACAGACATTAGTAAGATATAGTGTATGATTTAAGTAAGCTCATTCATAGTCTACTGCTATTTTATTTTTTATGTTAATACATACATGCTATATATAATGATCACATTTGTCACAGGGAATTAGTGCCTGTACGTAGTGTCTTAACTCCTCTTTTTTGCCCATTCCTTTTCCCTGCTTTTAACCCTTCTCCCCATTTACAAAATCTTTGTTTCCATTTTTTCCTTCCATTGTGGTTTTTTCGCTTTTCCTGCTCCACTCTCCTTTATTCCCCTTCCCATTTGAATGTGTTTTTCCTACTTCCCAATATCTACCGTCCATTTTGTTCCTGGTTTATCCTTAAGGTTTCTCACACAAGAGAAACAATGCAATATTTAAACTTGTGTGTCCAGTTTCTTTTACTTGACATTATGGTCTCAAAGTGCATTCATTTTCCTACAAATAACTCGTTTATTCTTCTTTATGGCAGAGTAGTATTCCATTGTACATAAAAACCATATTTTCTTTATCCAGCCATTGATGGGCATATGTGCTATTTCCAAGATTTAGCTGTTACAAATTGTGCTGCTATAAACATGAGTATGCACATATCAGTGTGGTGTGATGTTTTTAACTCGGGAAGATACCTAGGAGGGGCACAGCTGGGTCAAATGGAACCTGTAGTTTTGTTTGTTTGTTTTTGGTACCGGGGATCGAACTCAGGTCCTTGCACTTGCGCAGCAGGCGGCGAAACCACTGAGCTAAATCCCTGGCCCTGTAGTTTTAGTTTTTTGAGGAATCTCCACACTGATTTCCGTAGTGGTTGTACCAGTTTACACTCTGATCAACAATGGAGAAAGGTTCCTTACCATGGAAGTATCTTATTTCTCCATCAATTTCAAAAGATAACTTTGTGGGATACATCAGTCTGGCTTGCATGTTGTTTTCTTTTAGGGGTTGAAATACTTTGCTCCAAGCTCTCCTTGACTTATGCATTTGTGCTGAGAAGTCTGCTGTGATTCTGATGGGTTTTCCTGTATAGGTGATGTATTTCTTTTCTTTAACAGTTGTTCATATTCTGTTCTTGTGTTGAATTTCTGGAATCTTGACTATTATATGCCTTAGTGTAGTTTTTTTCTTATTCTGGCTATTGAGGGTTCTCTATACTTTACTTGTTTGTATGTCAAATTCTTTTTCTTTTCCATGCTTGCAAAGTTTTCCATTACTTCTGTGAACAAGTTTTTTATGTCTTGTGCTAGCTTCTGATTTTTCATTGACTCCAGTTAATCTTATATTCTTCTTCTTTGCATTTTCTAGGAACTGTTGGGTTGATTTTTCATGATCCTTTGCTATTTTTAAGCTGTCTTTCATTTGATGCTCGCCAGTCGCAAGCCTGGCTTCTAGATCTGATCGTCTGTCCTCACATTGGCTCATTCTGCTGTGTAGACTTTCAGTTGAATTTCTAATCTCTGGGACATCTGTTTGCATCTTTTTTAAGGCATCTAGTTCTTTCCTATGTTGGGCATTCATGGCTTTCCTGTCTTTCCTAAGCTCCTCTGTTTTTAAAACCTGTATCTCCTCTGGATTCACTAACCATTTCCTTCATTAGGGTTATCATCTCTTTATCTGTGTAATTATTTCTATTTTGGTTTTGTCATGAGACTTATTCATCTGTTTTGTTACTTTTGCTACTACGATTTCAGAAGATTCAGCTGGGTGGCTTGGTTTCCTCTACCTCTGTGCCCCTTGGGTTTGCCTTGGATCAGTTGGGTTGCATGTTGCTTCTGTGTTGTTTTAATTTTATATTTTTTGTTTTGTTTTGTTGTTTTCTGTGTTGAAACATCCAAATTGCTTATAGTAGATAGCTTTATTACTACTATCAAGACCTGTTAGGGAAATGACTAATTTTCAGAGTTGTTTTCTAGGTGTAGCTGGCTTTCTGCCTTTAAGTCTGTCCCAGGATCCCACCTTTTCTGTTTATTAGGCATGAAATATTACAGCCTAGCACCCAGTTCTTCGGTACTGGGCTGCAGTATTGTTTGTGATGCCCAGAAAATGTACATATAGGCATACAAGGAAGGTCACTTGATCACAACAATCATGTCACCTCAGCTAAAGTAGTATGGTCAGTAATAACAGTAGCATGAAACACAGACTAGAAAATGACAAACTGTGATAACTAATAATTTGCTACCTTTAACCTTAGGTACAAGATTTATAGTGTTATGGCTTGTGTTTAGATGTCTCCCAAAGCCTCATTCAAATGAGCTGGGACTTTTTTTTCAGAGGTAGTTGAATCTGGAAAGTGCAATGCTGGGATTAAGGGCGAGTGATTACTAAACCTTTCCACGTGAGTGACTGGTTTGGTACCACCGTAATCCCCCATAGTCTGAGTAGGATAAAAGGGGCAGAAAGATGCTGGTAAACCCCCTTGTTACCCGTGCTGCCTTGTGCGGCTGGTTTGCTATCCCAGCCGACTGTGGACTGAAACCTCTACAAACTGTGAGCCTAATAAACCTCTTCCCTTTTAACTTGGGGTGTTGATTATTTTGTCTTAGTAACAAGAGAAAAGTAACTAAGACATATAGTTATATAACAAAATCTAAGACAAATAAGAAAAGTATTTATAGTGAATATCCACTGAATAGAGAGATTTTACCCTAGAGGGAGAAAATTTAAAAGGGAGAAGAAGAAAATATAGAGAAATGAAAGAAGAAAAAGAGACTAGAAGCAAGGCTGAAGAACAAAGGAAAAGATTACCCAAGCCTCAGGAAACCGGTGAAGAAGACAGGAGGGAGAGAAAGGAGAAAACAGGAAAAGAATAAAAACCTTGTTCACAGTCACAAAAAACAAAAAACAAGCAATCAGAAAAAAGAAAATGAACAAAAATTTTTAAAAAGACCAAAAGCAAAGAAAAAGAATAATAAATTTCTCTCTGGTTACCTTCTGAGGTGTACAGTTTTCTGGCAGTATCCAATTCAATGTGTTACTCTGCTCTTGGTAGATGAGGGAGACAGTCAGAGCCCAGATCCCTTTTGGATAATCCCAGCAAGTTGGCAGTAGGATTAGGGTGTGGTGCCAGTTCTGGGACTTTGAGATCCATAGAAATTCAAGTTGGATTTGGTCACAGTGGTGGGGGCTGAGTCATTTTTATCTCATAACACCAAGTGTCTCTGCCAGCCTAACCGTGGCTCCTCGACCCTGGCCATCTCCCATGGTTGGCCTTCACCCAGTCACTGTGGGAGTTTAACACTGGGAGTGGAGCCCTAAGATGAAGCCAGCCCATGGCTGCGGTCATTCTCATGTTCAGTTGGCCCCTCCCTAAAATGCCATCCTACCCGGGACTCTCTCAAGGGGATATGGCAGATGTTTGGACTGGAGTCACTCACCAGGCTTTGTAGTGCACAGCATCCACTGCTCTGTTCCACCGTGCATTTCTCCCAGAGGGCCTCTGGGTTCTCCTGCTTTCACTGTGTGTTCCTTTTTGCCATGAGCCAAGAGCAGGGGAGAAAGTGCAGATTGTCTTTTTTTTTTTTTTGTCTTGTGGTCTGTCTCTTCTATTTCTCTGTGTGCTCCAATTTTCCCATCTTATTTTTCCTGGGTCCAGGCATCCACCTCCCTTCTGGTCAGTTGTCTATTTCCAGTGTCTGCATTGCAGATCTTGGAGAGGCTGGTTTATTGCTGTTTACCTTTCTGCCATCTTCCCAGAAGTCTCTATTGCTGTTTATTTTGTTTGTTTATTTTTTGAGACAGGGTCTCCATATGCAGTTCAGGATGACCTTGAACCCACTGTGTAGCCCAGGTTGGCCTGGAACTTTCTGAGATCCTCTTGCCTCAGTCTCCTGAGAGCTAGGATTATAGGCGTGCGGCACCACACCCAGCTGTATGTCATTTATTCTTGAGACTCATGTGCACATTTATAAATTTTATGTTTCTTGTACTCATTTGAAAAATATTTAGATATAATTTCCTCCAGTCTTTCAGGTTTTTGTATTGATATTGGGGATTTTTTTTGGTTTTTTTTTTTTGGTACTGGGGATCGAACTTGGGTCCTTGCGTTTGTGCAGCAGGTGACGAAACCACTGAACTAAATCCCCGGCCCCCGTGTTGGTTTTTAATGACCCCAGAAACCTCTCCTATTACTAAATGCCTGGGATCTGCTTCCATTTTGAATTTGCCTTTAACTTTTTAAAAATTTTAATTAAGACTAATTAGTTACTTTCAAATGTGATATGAGTGATTATAATTTCCCGCTAAGTTTTAAAAGGTCTTAGCTTTCAAATGCTGAGTAGCTTTTTTTAGTAAGCACTGCATTTATAAATTAAATTGTCATTATGGTAATAATATTGGCCCCATTAGACAAAATACTTTCATTGGTTGGCACTTATAATAAAGCATAATTTTACACAAAAAAAGAATTCTTAGCAACATGGAGTGTTCAGATAGAGCTACAGGTAATCCTTCTTTGAGGATTGGTAAACTGCATATTTTAACTTGCGTTTGTGGACTTATTTAATCATTTTGTGCAGTTATATTTGTGTGTGTGTGTGTGTGTGTGTGTGTGTGTATTTCCCTTTCCTCATATTGATGGCTTTGAAGAGTCCAGGCCAGTTGTTCTGCAGAATGTTTCTCAATTTGAAATGCTGTGATTGGTTCCTCCTGTATATGTTTTCTTCGTGTCTGAAAACTTATCCATACTTGTTTTTTAGACGCTGACTACAAATAGATTTATTGAAAATATGTATGTTTCTATATTTTTAAAATCTGTTCTAGGCAGAGGAGTATTGGCAGTGGAATAAATTACCCTGTGGAATTACTTCCAGGAATAAAATTCCACTCCGCACAATCAGCATTAAGCCATCCACCATGTGGTTTGGAGAAAGATCCAGGAAAACAAATGTCATTGTGAGGTAAGCGAGCAATGCTATAGGTCTTCTGAGAGACTTGGAGATAAAATGTTTAATTCAAGCTGGGCATGGTGCTAGTCGTAGTTACTTTTCTTGTTGCTGGGACAAAATATCCGACATCCAAAGTTAAAGGAAGAGAGGTTCATGTAACTCACAGTTTGTAGAGGTTTCAGTCCATAATTGGCTGGCTCCAAGACAGGGTGGCATGGCAGAGGAGAAACAATTCATGGTGGGCAGAAGGCAGCAAAGCAAGTAAGGGTTGACCACAGCTCTTTCTGTCCCTTATATCTTATCCAGGCTACTTAGGACAGGCAGCACTCACACCCTTAATCCTAGTGGCATTGATCCTAGCATTGCATCATGAATCAGTCCCAGCATCACATACTCTAGATCCAGACACCCCTGAAAATGTCCCACCTATGACCACATGAGGCTTTAGGGGAACATCTAGACACAAGCCGTAACAGTGGCACATGTCTGTAATACCAGCAACTCAGGAGGCTGAAGTAGGAGGATCACAAGTTTAAGGCCAGCCTGGGCAACTCAGACCCTGTCTCCAAATAAAAAAAAAAGACCTGGAGGTGTAGCTCAGCAGTAGAGTGTCCCTGGGTTCAATCCCTGGTACTGAAAAAAAAAAAGTTTGATTTAGTTTAATGTAAACATACTCTAGCCTAAGCCCAAGAAGAGGATATACTATAATTGTGGGAAGTAATGTCTTTAATTTAAGCATGATATTCCAAGCTTACCATAGCACATTAGACAGTATATCTGGAGGCCTACCTCTAGTGAGGAGGTAGACAGTTGAAATCTGAAGGCATCAGAGTGCCTGCCTGTGAGTTAACAATTGATACCATAGAGACTAGAAGCCCTTGGTAGAATGGAGTTTCCATACTCATCCTACTGTCTTAGCAACGTTCCCTTGCCTGGGTTGTTTAGTATGTCTACAACAGATTTCCATTTCTGGAAAAAGTTCAATCTTATCCCAAGAAGTTCCTGACTAGGGTGATTTCAAACTGGAATAGCCTAACTGGGAAAGGTCAAAGTTTAGAACTTAGCTTAGTGTTGGAGGTGACTTTTGTATTTGTGTTTTCATTTCTCATTAGGACTGGAGAGAGTTCATACAGAGCTTGTTTTTCTTTTCACTCCTCCTACAGTGAGGTAAGAGGATCCTATAAACTCAGCCTTCGCTGACTCTTGCTTGGAGCATGTCTTACTATTTAAATTTCATTCTCTGTAAGTTTCTTTCTAAGAGTTGATTCTTATTACATGTGGATCCCACATATTTGTGTTTTCTTATTTGCTACAGTTTATCTGTAGCCCTAATATTAATCCCGCCTGGGCTTTAGGAGTTATTTGCGTTACGAGGCGAGTGGAAAAATTTTAGTGACCTAATGCATGTTCCCAGCTCCGGGGAAACAAGGTGGTGCCCTACTTCCTCATGTCAGCTCTCCTGCTGTAAACAGGAGTCCTTTTCATGATCTGTAGAGTGCCATATTTTTCATATTTTTGTGCCTTTTGTTGGTGATTTTACCATTTGAAATGGCCCCAAGTGAAGTGCTGAAGTACTGTGTAGTATGCCTGAACACAAGAAGGCTATGACGTCTTACCGTGACCATGTGGAGTGTGGTCACAAATACAGTAAATGTAAAAAAAATACAGTAAATGTTTAAATTTAAAAGAAATTGTTATAGTAAAAGAGGGTATTGCATCAGTGCCTCTGAGCTTTGCCTCCAGCACACTTACCCATTATCCCCACTCCCTTCTGAAGCAGTTTGGAAACCCTCTCTCACGAGTGTCTTTAGTCACACTGCTGTGAGTGCCTTGATGTCCTGAATTGCTTCAAAACACCTTTCATGGTTATTTTGACTTTGAGGGAGTTACACAGTGCCAGATCTGGTAAATAAGGTAGACGATGCTACACAGTGACGTTTTTAAGAGCTTCCTTTCCATTAGATGACACTTGGCAGCAGCATTCACCGTATTATCACCTCTCATAAAGACACTCATGAGAGAACACTTCCAAAACTGCTTCAGAAAGTGGCAGGAACCATGGGGTGAGTGTGTTCTCTGTGAGAAGTATTTTGAGGGGGCTTAATGGCAATGCCTCTTCTACTGTAATTTTAAAAATTTAAACCTTCACTGTGTATTTTGATCACGTCACATACATACATAAACTCCAGGCATGAGTTACAGTGCTATTTCCTGTGAGTTCAATGTAGAGGAATAAACAATATAAAATGAGGTGTATATAAACAGAAACACATAAGACAAGGTTATGTATCGATTGGGTGATGAAACTGGAAACTTTGAGGAATCTAACCCTGTACTGCTTTCCCCCAGCAGCAGTGGTTCAGTATTTGCTAACTGAATGTTTGTGGTGACATTATAGAATGCAGTTACTGAGAACTGACTGCATTAAAGTCTTGTTAGGCAGGCGCTGGTGACAGACTGTCAGCTTGCGTGAATAAGAGGGGTGGCCCCTTACTGGGTGTCTTTTCTCTGCTTGTGGCCACTTCATCTCTGAGGGGTGAATCTCGTATAAGCTTGATCTTATTTTCTTTATCATTATTGCCTTCAAAAGCCTTAGACTTCTATTATCCTTAACGTGGATTTTTTGTTTCAGTACTGGGGATTGAACCCAGGGCCTTTGCACTGAACTGCACCACCAGCCCCCTTGTTTTAAAACAAAGTTTTATTTTGGGAAGAGTCTCACTAAGTCGCTAAGTTGCCCAGGCTGAGCTCAAACTTGTGATCCTCCTGCTGACTCAGTCTCCTAGAGTGCTGGGATCGTAGGCTAGTTCCATCATGCCTAGCTTCACCTTGGATTGCTTGTGCAAATCAGGTAGGTAGTAGGTAAGTAAGTAATGGTTTCTATTTGTATACCTCCTCTCAAGGTACGAGAGGCATTAATTATGAGAAATGACTAATCAACAGATGTTTCTGCCTTTTCCCCTATGGTTTAGTAGCCATTTAAAAAAATTGAGTTACAGTGTTTATTAATTCCTGGGCTCTTGCCTCTTGATTGGTCCTTTATTTGGAAACTTGGATGCTAATTATGACTCTGTCCCCCAGTAATTTCAGTTGCAGAAGGGAGTAACAATCTGCGTGTTGTAATGAGTCGTCTTCCTGAAAGTTTCTCCAGGTATCAGTCAGGTACTGGGCCAAGCACTTCACATGTCCTGTCCAGTGTGTACTTGAGGGAAAGTCTGAGACTGAGACACTGAGTGGCTTCCCTGAGCTCACGAGCTTGTCAGGACCTAGGAAGTGACAAAGTTGAGGTTCGTCCTGGTTGAAGAGCTGTGAGGAATAGGCACAGAGTTCCTGTGTAGCATTCTGAACTTTGCGGAAAAAGAAGTTCTGAGTGCCATTTCTACACGCCACTGTGCTGTTTAGAATTGTTGGGAAAGGCAGCCCTCAGAAGACTCAAGGAAGTCTTGAGGAGGAGCCTGAGGGAGAGCGGGTCCGGCCTGGAGCGTTTCCTTCTGAGAGGAGGAAGCCGGTGGGCTTACACCCTGTGCCAGCTCCCGTCCTGGTGAGCACAGCCTTCCCTGTTTCAGGGCCAGCGTGTGCTCTCGTTTGTGGTACATTCTCTGTGCCAACAGCGCCAGACACACCGAGCTGCCAGCGCTCCCGACCCTGCAGGGGAGGGGGCTTCCCCTGTGGCAGGACAGGGAGGCAGAGGCAAACTGGCTGTGGGAGACCTGCAGCACCGCTGGAGCTGACCCTGCTGTGTGGGCTCTGAAAGCAAAGTGTCATCCGTCCAGGCCGACTGCACTGTGCTTCCCTTGGTGACTCCAGGACCAGCATGTGGCAGGAGTGTTAGAGTTATACTCAGCTATATTTCAACTCTTCAAAGGAAATTTGTTAAATATGGGTAAACTTCTTAGGTAAGGAAACTAATGTTGTATTTAAAGATGCAAAGTGTGCCAGGCATGGCGGCCCATGCCTGTAATCCCAGCACTTGGGAGGCTGAGGCAGGAGGGTCACTTGAGTTTGAGACCACCCTAGGCTACATGTGAGTTTGAGGCCAGCGTGAACTGCACAGTGAGACCATCTTTAAAAAACACAAAAACAAAGCAAAATGCCATTAATGCCTAGCTACTTGGGAGGCTGAGGCAGGAGGCTCACTAGTTTCAGGCCAGGCTTGGCAATTTTCGTGAGATTCTGTCTCAAAATCAGATTTTAAAGGGGTAGGGGACTTAGCTCAGTGGTAGAGCACTCGCCTGCCATGCATGATGCCCTGGTCCAATTCCCACACTCCATAAATACGTGAATGAGCCGCCTTTTTGAGGCCTACTGACCACGGGCTCTCTGAGCTCCCGCTGCAGAGCAGAACCAGCTGAGTGGGGCTTTGATGTCCTGCTTCTCGGCCCAGCAGCACAGTGCTGTGAGGACCGGCAGCAAGGCCTGGGCACTGATGCCCCTTCCTTTCACGAGGTCCCCTTGTATGGCCAGCCCTGAGAAGCATGGCGGTAAAGAGCTGCTTCTCCTGCCAGTGGCCTTCCTGCCTTCTCTAACACTAAGCGTGCATCATAGAGATGACTGGGCCATGTTATTCTCCTTCTAGATTAAAGACTTCTTGAGTTACCTCAGTCCTGTGAATGTGTACCCAAACGTCGTTCCAGTGGGCACAACTCTGGCTAAAGTCAGAGAAATGTGAGTAGTTACTGCCTGTGGGACTCATGCTGCTCTCTGAGTCTTTTGGCTTGGAGGCAGATTTGGATCATTTAACCTGAAAGTTTACAAATCTAGAAACTGTTCCAGCTGCAATGTTTTTGGACTTACACTGATTTCAGTTTTTTCCTTTCATTCATAATCGTGGCAGAAGGTAGTTTGTCTTGAGTTGAATCCTGGCTCTTTATGTGCAGTGTGATCTTGGCCAGATCTCTGCTCCAGAGTGGTCATTCCTCATCAGTGCAGGAATGTGCATTGATGTCCACTTGTTGGGTTTCTCAGGGATGTGGAAATAAGTGTTAATTAAGTGGGTGGTCAGTAAAGGTATTTACCAAATGGGTTCATGGAACCCACGGTCTCTTTAAGTTTCGTTCATCCATGCATTATGTATTTTAGTGCCAGCTCTCTGTTAGGCCCTGTGCTTGGGATGGGTCCAAGTTGACTAAGATACATTTTACACAGACAGAGCTCCTGAGTGTTTTGGAAGGGACAAGTGTGAAAGGAGGAACTCCATGTACAAGTTGCTGCGGATCATGAAGAAATTTGGCCTGGTGTTAGGGAATCTGCCCCAGAGACACTGATAAGGACATACAAGACGAGGCTTGCAAGCGTTTATGGAAGGTAGGATTCTGGAGCTCTAGAGGCAACCCAGATGTCTAGAGCTCTTGAATCCTACCACAGAATTAGATGGGCAGCATAAGCAGTAACAGAAACCACAAGGACCGAGGAAATTGCCAGGGGAGAGGGTAGGGAGGAAAAGCTAAAGCCAGAGCTTGACATTGCCTTACGAGCAGCTGGACGGAGATGGAGGCAGACTGGCCAAGACAGTGAAGGATCACAAGTGGCCCAGAGAGCGTGTCAGTGGGTCTATCTCCTGAGAAGTTAAATACATGCGGACTACAAGGTTCCTGCTACCTCGGTTACTAGGTCATTTGTATGCGCTCAGTGAGCGTGCTTTCAGTAAAGAGGCCAGGCTGCCATTGAGAAATGGCTAAAAAGAGAGGACATGGAGACTACTGAAATAGTCTATTTAAAAAGTTTGATACTGCAGGGAAAATTACGGATAAGATGGTAACCAGAGACAACATAATTAAGAAGCTTGATCTTAAAATAGCTGATATTTAAATATCTTATGGAATTAAACTTGATTATACTTAAGACTCACTTGGGATGCTTGTTCAGATGCATACTTCCCATTCTTGCATTTGTAGCAGGCAATCTGTTGTAGGTAGTTAGCTAGAGAATAGCTTCACTTTAAAGAAGTTACCCAAAGAGAATAGTTGGAATGACTGCAGAGTAGTAGCCACAGAATAGAGGGGCTGGGCCGGGGATTTAGCTCAGTGGTTCCGCCGCCTGCCTCGCAAGCGCAAGGACCCGAGTTCGATCCCTGGTACCAAAAAGAAAAAAAAAAAAAAAAAGAATAGAGTGGCTGAATGCATGGACCCGGGAGCATTTGTTGGCATGAGAACAGAGGAGGATGTGAAGTTGGTGTGTCGGTAGGCCAGTTTCAATCGGGAGCTTCATGGCTGTGTCCAAGTGGTGTGTTATATATAATCCTCTAGGGTTCTGCAGCTGGCAGTAGTTGGTGCTGTAACCCTTCAGATCTTATTTCTGTATCTTGGCTTTCAGCCTATGGCTCTAAATGAAGAGATCAAATTTGTAGTTTTCCAAAACCCCGGAAGATATAAGTAAACTTCATTAAACAGGGAGGGGGAAGCAGTTAGCTATACTGTACTTCCAGAATGACAGAAGGTAACATTGTGTTATTTAGCAGTGTTTTAGAAAGAGACCTCATTTTCTGCATTGCATGAATGAAATTTTTCTTTACTGAGTATGTTGCCCTCAGTCCTAACAATTAAATAGGCATCTACTGTGTTGTATTTAAGTGCTTATATTTACCACTTCATTATATTGAAGTGATTTTAATTATTAAACTCTGCTTTCAGTTCTTGAAAGTGGTTGTATGATTTCCCTATGGTCAGGTTTTTGTAATGTCCATATATGATGCTTACCTTCCAGCAGCTTTTCCAAAAAAGAAAAACTCAAATATTCTGATTCATTTCAGCTTAAAGCCTTTATGCCGGTCTTCCCAAAATACTGAGCCAAAGTATAAACCACTTGGAAACCTGAAGAGAGCTAGAACAGTCCATCTAGATCCAGGTAAGAATGGTCCTGGGTGCAGTAGTGTAGGCTTCCTGTAAAGACTGCTTTTCAGAGTGTTCTGGCTGGTAGAGGTAGCCTTTGGCATAGTAGACGTGGGCCCCATTATATGCCAGGCTTGTCACATGGTCTTAGGAAGAGCTTGCCTCCCTGTGTTCAGCATATGGTCAGGAGTCTGGTCTCCCTCCCAGGCGTGAAACAAGTGGTGAAGCTCTCGGCTTCCTGGAAATAGGCCGTGTTGTTACCCTTCAATGTTGCTTTCAGTATACAAGTAAATGCTGAAAATGGAGACTTTATTGTCATTTCTCATCAGATTGACCAATAGTGTTATATTTCTCTGTAATTTCCTGCCTTCTTTTGTTGCTACTTTTGTTTTTCAGCAAAGAACAGAGATAAGCTGTGGAGTAGAAATCAGAACTTTAGATTCTGAGCAAAGCTTGCTGGTTTATAGCAGCCAGATTTAGAGGATGGGGTTCTGGATTTTCATTCCTTTAGTGGAGAACCAGTTACTGTGCCATGAGGTGAATACCTTAGGTAATGACCTTCCTTTTCTAATGTGGGCTTAGTGATAAAAGTTTCCTTCCTAAGTAGCATCCCACAGATTGGTCATTTCAGTTCAGTTCAGAATATTTTACATTTTTTTCCTTTGACACTTGAGTTATTTAGAAGTTTAGTTTCTGAATTTGGGAGAGATTTTCCCAAGATAATTCTGTTGTTACCCAAATTAACTTAATTGTAGTCAGAGAATATACTTTGTATGATTTTTATTGAGATTTATGGAATATGGCCCATCTTGGTAAATGTTTCATTTGTACTTGAAAGAAATATGTGCACTGCTGTTGTTGGGTAAAATGTTGTAGGTCAAGTTGATAGTGTTTTTCAAGGCTTCAGTACTGATTTGTGCTGAATTTCCAATTACAGTTATGCACTGTTATTAGGTACATAACAAGTTTATTTCTTCTCGAGGTCCTGACCCCTTTATCTTTAGAAAATGACTTTCCTCCTGGTAATATTTAGTTCTGAAAAATCTTTTCTAATCAGATAATACTACGACCACTCCAATTTCTTCTTTTTCTTTTTTTGGTACCAGGGATCGAACTCGGGTCCTTGCGCTTTCGAGGCAGGCGGCGGAACCACTGAGCTAAATCCCCGGCCCAAATTTCTTCTGATTAGTATTATCAGCATGATATGTCTTTTCCATTTCTGTATTTTTAACTTGTCTTTAGTGGGTTTTTTTCTTTTTTGGTACGGGGGATCGAACTCAGGTCCTTGCACTTGGCGCAGCAGGCAGCGAAACCACTGAGCTAAATCCCTGGCCCTTTAGTGGGTTTCTTTAAGGCAGCATATTGTTGGGTTTTGATTTTCCTAGCCAATCTGAAAGTTTGTCTTTTGTCATACTTACATAAGTAAGGTTTAATGTATTGATGGGATTAGGTTTAAATATCATCTTGCTGTTCTGTGTTCTTTACTTTCTTTTTTCTACTTTTTGGATCAAGTGAGTACTGGTTCCATTTAATCTTTGGTTAGCACACTGGCTCTAACATTGGATGTGTGGTTTGTTTTTTGTTTGGGTATAGAGATTGAACCCAGGGCTTCTGCACTGAGCTACATCTCCAGTTCTTTTTGAGATGGGGTCTCACTAAGTTTGCCCAGGCTGGGCTCAAATCTTATTGACTAAAAAGGTTTGCTCTCTGAGAAAAGGGAAAAAGAATTTGGGTGTTTTATTTCCTGTGTTTCTTTTTATGGATAAAGATAGGAATCATCCAGGTGGTGGATAGCCTTTTCTCTTTTCTGTGTATATCTGTCCTCAGCATTTGGCCAGTACTTTGTGATCCTCCTGCCTCTGCCTCCTAGAATGCTGGGATTATAGTGTGTACCACCATCCCTAGCTTGTAATATATATCTTTATACAGTGAAAAGATATTATACTACTTCAAATATGGCATGAGAACCTGACATCAGTATACTTGCATTTTTTCTCCTCCAGTCTTTGTACCATTTTGTACATTATATTATAAACTGTGTCTCGTTTTTGCTTTGAACTATTGGAACCTGTGGTGTGTATCATTTGCCTGTTCTGCACATTGCCTGTAAGTAGAATTATAGAACACATGGTTTCAGTGCCAGCTTTCATGTTTTCAGGGTTCTCCTTGTTACCTATCAATACTTTTAATTACCAACCAATTTCCATTGTGTGAGTATGCCACATTTTATCTATTCACTAATTGATGGGCATTTGGGGTGATTTCATTTTTTAGTTATAATTATGCTAGGAAAAGTTCAAGTACCAGTCTTTATGTGGCCATATGATTTCCTCTTGGATAAAAATGTAAGGACTGAGTTTCTGGGTCTTATAGTGTCTTACTCTGCTGTACCAAAATACCAAACTGGGAAGCTTAAATGCCAGATCTATTTGTCATAGTTCTGGAGGCTGGTAGTCCAAGATGAAGGGTATGACACAAAGTAGCTTTCATTGTGAAGCCTTCTATTTTGGCTTATCATTGGCCTTTCTCATTTGTGCCCACGTGGCAACGGGAGAGCTAGAGTTCTCTGGTGTCTCTTAACAGGACACTGATCCACCTGGATAAAGGCTACCCTCAGGATTCCATTTACTTTTAGCTACCTCCTTGAGGCCCTATCTGCAGATCAGTGGCATACCAGAAGTCCTTTCCTCCTTTAAAAAAAAAAAAACTTCAAAAGAAAAAGAAATGTACCTTTCATGCATCTACCTCATCCACACTTGTTTTTGATGATGAGTATCTTTTTGGATCAGGTCACTAGTTTAAGAATTTATGGCTCAATGTTCATTTGTTCCTGATCTTCCTGCCTTTATTTTTGTTAGCTCTGATTTTGTTCCTTCTACTGTCCTTATGCTTGTTGTTCTTTAATGCACAATTTTTGCAGTAACTTCTATGGCTTTTCTTGTTCAGGCACAGCTCTTTAAACAACGTGAATGTTCTCTCTAGATGATTTTAGTTGAATTTTATAAGCAACACCATCATATTTAACAGTCCATGTATGTCAAGGGCTTTGTAATTATTGTTATGAGTATGCTTCAACACTTCTTTCGTGATCTCTGCAAGTTAAGTTTTTCAGGTACTTTACTGCTTAGAATGTTCTGCTGATTCAAGCCAGTGTCAGTGTACCTTTCTTAAATCAAACTGTCTCACAATCAGAGGGATGAGTTCATAAGTCATTCTTCTTATCCTCTTTTTTGGGGGGGAGGGGGACCTGGGATTGAACTCGGGTCCTTGTGCTTGTGAGGCAGGCGGTGGAGCCACTCAGCTAAATCCCTGGCCTTTCTTATCCTCTTTGAAAAAGCTGTGTTCTATGATGTTTTGCCTCTACATAATTTAATAATTACCAGTATTATACTTAGCATCATAGACCTTTTATGACTTTATTCTTAGATCAGTAGTACATACTATGACTTAGAAAGTAAAAGATTGCATAGAATGACACAAATTATTTTCTTTAGCATTTTTAATGTATTTCCTTCTTTTATGTTCATTTACATATTCACAAAATTCGAAGTGATGTTGAGAATGTTTAAAAAGTAACATCACAGGGGCTCCAGTCAGTGAGAACAAGAGTAACTGCAGTGTTGGAGTAATGCCCTGAAGTTCAGATAAGTAAGAGTCTTAAAGATGGACTGTGGAGGTTGGACCACAGTCTTTTAGGTAGGGCACAGGGCAGTAAGGGGACAGGAAGGACACTTAGGGTCTCAAGCTAAGGAGGAAAGCATTTCTGTAGTGCAGTAGCTGTAAAACTAGATAGGTGCATACAGTATAAAAAGCAGCTTGTATCACTTTTATACATACGTATATATGTTATATTTTTCACTTCAAACATTTTATTGGGAAATTTCTGTGTTACTCTTCAAAAACATCAGTGGTTGCATACTTCCCATCACCATCCAATCTTTGAATTAAGAACATTTACTCTTTTATCATACATTTAGGTTATTTTTGTACTTGTAAGTTTTATAAATAATGTGATGAACAAACAACTTTTACAAGTCTATTTTGCATCCCACTGTTGGGTTGGACTGTGGAAGTTAAAATGCTTAATACACATCGCCAACTGCTTTCTTGTATAATTTTACCAATTTTTACAGACATCAACAGTGTATAATGGTGGAAATTGAGTTATTTGTGACATCTATCCTTTTTTTTTTTGAGGCAGGGTCTCTCCCTTTGTAGTTCAGGCTGGCCCTGAACTCACAGCAATCCTCTTGCCTCGGCCTCCCGAGTGCTGGGATTACAGACATGCCCCACCACACCTGGCCCGGACATCTATCCTTTTTCATTGAGACTTGGGATGTTTTTATTATCAGCATGTGTAAGTCTCAAAGATTTCAGCCCTTTTATATTGTGATATTTTTCACAATGCTATATGCCTATTTTCATAGTTTTAAATGGTATATGGGCAAAACAGAAGAGTTCATAATGACACAGTAAACCTCCAGGTATGGAAAGATACGTACAAGTAAGCAGATGTAAGAAATGTTCTGATAAAAGGGTTACAGGTGAAATGTGACACTGGCATAGTCACAGATCTGGACAGAGAAAAGACAGTACAAAAACATTTTCTAAAAACGTGACTTTGGTTTACAGTGGAAGAACAAAAACAACATAATCTATGGTTTAAAATAAAGTCCTGTCTTGGACAGTTGGATGATGCCGAACATAGTAGCTAGACGTATCAGTCACCTTAAATCCTTCAGGAATGAATGTTAACATCAATTATGAACCCTAACAGAACAGTGGCCTTTCACAGTTAGGTTTGGCCTGTGTACTGGCACACCTTTTTTCTGGGCCTGTCTCACATTAAAGCGGGAGCTGGATGACAGTCTTTCAGGTCCACTAAAATGCAGTGCTTAACTTCATCCTTCATCACCGGGCAGGTCATTATACTTTAACAGATTCAACAGCAGACAAGTTGACATATATAGTAGTTTTCTTGGCATTCAATTTTCTTCCTGGGTTAAGTCTTGTTAAAAGTGGGAAAATACTTGTTCGCACCCTGATTCCATGCCTTCCATTTATGAGAATTTCACTAGCCAAGTAAGGATTCCTCATTTTTCAAAATTTAAGTGGACTGGGTTTGTATTCAGGAAAATCAATTTTGTTGACTTAGTTTGTGACGCTTCATGTGGCTTATTCAGTATTTTGGTTAAAATTGATTTATCCTGTCAGGCTGTGTACAAAGTATCAATAAAATATCCACAAAGCCAACCCACCCAGCACCTGCTATTTGCAGAACACACAGGGTTTCGAAACTTGGTTTTTGAGCAGAATGAAAATTATGTAGTTCTCCAGAAATATTCTGGAATGACATACAAAAACTGTATTTAAGGTTTTCATTGAGCTATATTCTCAACTGATAGTGTGGCATTATAAAAATGCCAGAAGGCTGGAGGTTAGATTGTTCAGACTATCCGAAGAATTACAGGCCTTTTAATTTCTTTCAAGAGTAGCCTCCCTGCTTGGTGTGGTGGTGCATGGCTGTAATAAGAGCACTCATGAGGCTGAGGCAGGAAGATCGCCAAGATTTTGAGGCCAGTCTGAGCTACATAATGAGTTCAAGGCCAGCCTGAACCACACAGTGAGACCCTGTCTCAAAAAACAAAACAAGGGTGACCTCCTCATTCTTTGTAATTCCAAGAATCAAGAAATGTAGATAAACACTACAAATTAAAATGACTTCCTTTGCCTTGTTTTCAATAAAACCTGTTTTGTTTGTCCCACAGAGGAGGATGACCTTTTTGATGACCCTCTGCCAGTACCTTTGAGGCACAGGCTGCCATACCAGGTGACTCTTCATCCTGAGGTTATCTTGCTGACTGCAGTTCCACAAAACCAGTCCGAAAAACTGAGACAAAGCACAGGATGCTGTGAAGTCAAGAGTGGGGAAAGCTCTCTTTTGGCCAACTTCATAGACTGTGACGAATCCAACAGTGGAAGTGAAGAAGAATTGGAACTCCCAGCATCACTGCAAGGTCTGGATCCTGGAACACCTCCCCAGCAGGGTGATGCAGATGTACCCCAGTGGGAAGTATTCTTTAAAGGAAATCATGTTACAGAGGAAGGTCTAGAAAACTTTCCTTCTTCAACACAGACTGGGGGATCTCAGTCACCCCAGCTTTTCAGTGACTCGGATGGCGAATCAACCCACATCTCCTCCCAGAATTCTTCGCAGTCAACACACATAACAGAACAAGGAAGTCAAGGCTGGGACAGCCAGTCTGATACTGTTCTGTTATCTTCACAGGACAGAAATGGGGACAGTGCCTTTTTGAACAAAGGTGCCCATAGACCAAAGGTCAAGGACAGTATCCCTGCTTCTCAGATGGAACAAAATGCACTTTGCGCAAAGGACGCTGCCAGTGATGTGAAAGGCAGAGCCCAAGACTTAACTATAGTTCCTAGTACGGAGGAACACAGACCTGAGGAAAAAAGGTTGTCAAATCATAGCACATACCCAGACTCACACAGCTCCTCTGATTTTGAGATTCCCTCGACTCCAGAAGCTGAGCTACCTAAACAAGAGCATTTACAGTGTTTATATCAGAAACTGGCAACAGGTCAGAGTATAGTAGCTGAAAAAAGAAAATGCTCATTCTTGGATATTTAAGAATTAAAACACCCTGTCCTAGAGCAATCATTAAAAAGCTTTTACAAGCAATTGAGTCTACTATTGCAGTAGATTAGTTACAGTGGAATAAAAAATGTTGAGAGTAGCCAGGCACAGTGGCACATGCCTGATACCGGCACTAAGGCAAGAGGATCAGAAGTCCCAGTCCTGCCTGGGCAAGTTGGTGAGACTCTGTCTCAAAAAGGGGTGGTGGTGGAATATAGCTTAGTGCAAAGGTCATGGCTTCAATCCTCAGGACTAAAACCAAAAACTAAAGGCAGGCAATTGAGGTAAATGGGGGTTAAAAAACAGCACATGGGAGGCAGAACTAAATCTAAACATCTTAATAATTATATTAAATGTAAATGGTCTAAGGACACGTCGAGAAAGACTACTCAGGTAAAAAAAAACTATGGTGTCCACAAGAAATTCAACTCAAATGCTATCTATAGATAAAAGGAAGGGGAAAAAAGATCCAACAGGTAAGCAGTAACTAAAAGCAGGAGTGGCTATATTAGTATTAGACCGTTTCCTAATGATAAAAGGTCCAGTTAACTGAGAAGACATAATCCTACATGTCTGTACACTTAATAGCTTCAAAATACACAAGCAAAGACAACTGAGACAAACTAATGCACAATTTTAGAGGTTAACATCCCTCTCAGTGAACTACATTTTATATATACATCCGTACATATATATATAGATAGGTGTATATATCTGTATGTACACACACACAGAAAATCACTAAGTGTGTAGAGGAACTGAACATCACCACTTAACTGGATCTGACATAAGACCCTCCACCTAAACAGCAGAACGCATCTCAAGTGTGCAGGAACTTTAACCAAAGACAGACTATCTTGGGTCAGACAAACATTTAAATTGGAATAAATTTGGACCTACTGCAATAAACTGATGGTCACAGGGAAAAAATAGCACCGTATCCCAAAAGCTGTTGTATCACTTAAAAACCATATTATCAATTCAGTGGTAAAAGTATAACCACAAAAATTAGGATGTAAAAAAAAAATGCTTAAGAATTAAATGGCTAAAATATGCTATGTTCTGTGAGTCAACACCTTCAAAGTCCAGAAATGATTATGAGGATTTAATAAATTTTTTGTTGCTGTTGTTAACGGGGATCAAATTCAGGACCTTATGCTTGTGAGGCGGCAGGCGGTGGCACCACTGAGCTAAATTCCCAGCCCGAGGATTTACTAAACTTTTGTAAATATATATTCATAAATACTTCTGGATATGCTGATGTTTCACAAATTAAAACAAAAGCAAAGGTATCACTTAAGCTTCTGCTCAGTCTCACAAGTTGGAATCACACAATTTGCAGATCAAGATAATGCTATGCACCATCCCCATGATGCACAGTAATTAGGCCCAAAAATCCTAGACCTGTTAAGACTAGGGTAACAAGTCAGTCCATTGTTACTATATGCATTTGTGCCCATTCACTAATACTGAAGACTTAGTTTTATTGTTTAAACTGAGACGGTCTTGCTATGTAGTGCACGCTGGACCTTAATTCTTGGCGACCCTGCCTCAGCCTCCCACCAAGTACTGAGATTACAGCTGCCGCAACCATGCCCAGCAAGACTTAGTTTTAACAGTGTGCCTTACAACCCAAGGTAGGTGTTCTAAAAATGTTTGTAAACATTCTTCTGGTGAATGTACTCCCAGCATTTTATAATTATACCATTATTTTCATTATGTATATATGGATCTGACACAATTCTGGGTGAATGAATTCAAGGGCAAAGAACAGAACATAAGAATATAATCAATATTCTCGTACTGCTTATCAGATTTTAAAGAGGAAGTTTGCAGCAGAGTAATGATAACTGACATGGTGCTTTCTCTGTGATAAAGTGTTCTACACACTGTATATGACTTCAACCCTCATAAACCCCCTCTGAGGTAGACAGGTGACTAAGGCACACAGGTCAGTTCACATAACTAGCAAGGGGCAAGTCCAGGATTCAGACACAAGCAATTTGGCTTTCAAGTCTGCTCTTCAGCATAATGCTAGGATGCCATTCGAAAACAGCATAAACAGCATGAGCAGTATTAATTGTAATGGTGGTCACATTTTATTTCAAGAAATCAGCCAAAGTGAAGAAACAAGTGTTTCAAAACCCCAAGATATATAAGAATCCCAGTGGCTAGCCATGTTTGCCTAGAGAAGAATATCAAAATGTAAATGTTTGTTTAAATATAAACTGACTAGTTTATAGTCTCCCTGAAATTGAAGATGAAATACTTTTAAAAACAGGTACAGTTTGAGGCCTAGCACTGCTGGATAATCTTGGGCATGTTAATGTTCTCCAACCAGCCTAAGCCTGTTATATAGGGACAACAGCACCAACCTTAGAGATTCATGAGAAGCACACGTGTGTAGATTAAGGGCCTGAGCCAACTTGCTCAATGAATATGACCTTGCAATTCTTAAAATTCCTTCACATTTCCAGGCAGAATCTACCACAGTACATTTTAGTACCTGGTGACTAATAATGTTCAAAAAATTTCAGTGTAGGATCTCTCCTGTTGAATTGTACTTTTAATATTCAAATGAATGGATCCTAAAAAAGACAGTACATTTAAAAGAGTTAGGTAAAAACCACTGACTAATCTTGTCAGTACTCAGGAATACAGTAATATCTTCAGTCTTTTGGAAATCTTGGCAAAATATTCAAAAGCAAACAAAGCTAAGTCATAGCAAATGGAATATCATTAAATGTCAAATTAAATTTATTTTGCTTGAGAAGAAACTGTTGAGCTACAAGAGCAGTTTAAATCCTGCATATGTGGCCAGGCATGTGGCACACGTGTGTGTGAGATCCGCACACTCAGCAGCCTGAGGCACGAGGATCACTGAGTTCGAGAACAGCCTGGGCTACCCAGTGAGACTGTCTCAAAAATAAAAGTAAAGTTTGTATATAGAAGGAAAATCCCAAGAGTTCTAATTCTGTATCACAACCCTACACAGATCCTGGAAATGATAGAATTACAACTTGTACAGTAGATTTGCATTTTAAATTTGCTGTTACTGTTACCTTTGAAAACTTCTATAGACAGCATTGTTTTTTTGTTGTTGTTGTTTGTTTTGGTACCGGGATCGAACTCTGGTCCTTGTGCTTGCAAGGCAGGCAGCAGAACCACTGAGCTAAATCCCCAGCCCAACCTTTGAAAACATTTATACTGCAAACAAATTTTGATATTGTTAGCAAGCACAAGTAAAAAAACAGTGTTGACTTCCTAATACTTAAAAGTCCCAAATGGTTTCTTTTAGTTTCTAATGTTACACAGGTATATACTTAACATTTTAAAGGCCCATGGGATTTCTCTCAGGGCAAAGCAGAACCACAGGTTTACTGAAAACAGTCTTTTCCCCTCCGTTCAGCCTCCAGTTTTACATTTTTAAAAACCCAGATGGTAGACAAGATCAAATAACTAGATATTAAAACAGTGACTTAAAAAAATTACATCATAAACCTGTAAGAATGGTAGCTCGAGTAAACTTGGCCACTTGGGACAACCTGTAACCCTATAATGTGTTCTCACTGCCAACACTGGGACTCATTTTTCATAAAACACAAGAAATGCCATTAAAAAATATATTTTTTCCTCGGTGCATCCTGAAATTTTTGGTTAGCAGACACAAGGCCCAAAACATGCAAATAATTTATCCTATATTTAAAAAGAGCAAAGTGATAGCAATATAATGAATAAAGTATAGTTTCCCTGAAAAACAGGTCACGAATTAATATATCTGAAGTGCTGCATTCTTGAATTCAGTTCAGTTTTACCCAAGCTTACTGTAGGCCACTAAAACCTAGAGCAGAAAGTGTAGGAAGAACTTATTTTTTCTGGTACCGGGGACTGAACTCAGGACCTTGCGCTTGCAAGGCAGGGGTGGCACCACTGAGCTAAATCCCCGGCTCAAGAACTTAATTAGGGAAACCGAAGGCTAATTTGCTGCATTTATCTTCATGTTAGATGCCATGAGAAATGCCAGCATCAGAGACAGAAAGTTTTCCTGACTGAGCTTTTACTACAAAGGTGTAAAAAATTTACATTTTAGTCTTTATACAGTAGGTCAACTAATAAAAGTTCTCTATTCACGCATATACTTGGGCCAAGGTTAGATTTATCCCACCTAGAAATTCATGTATAAAACAAGTTACCAGCTCAAATATAGATTACTTTTTAAGATGAAACTGAAGGAAATATAAAAACGGTTTGGTGAAAACATTAAAGCTGCTGGACATTAGAGGATGCATGTCAGTGGACACGACATCGTTACTCAGACAGCTGCTCCCTAGGGAGCTGGGGTCAGCTGAGATCAGAGGTGCTCGACACGGGTCTCCTACTCCACACAAGTGGTCCCTCACAGCCCTTCACTTCCTCAGCAGGGGCTCCGGAGAGCCTTCCCAACCCCACTGTCCTGTCCTTTCAGAGAAGCATATGGCCAGCCCTTCCAGACATCTCAGGGCCTTTTGGAGAGTCTTTTTCTGTAGGATAAAGATCTTGAATTACAGGTTTAGACATACAATCTTCATAACGGTTTAGATCTTTCAAAATAAGAAATCAAACTGAAACATTTTATACTTTAAATTTCTATATCATTAAGATGACAATGTTTAAATGACAAAGTAGAAAATAAGAGTAAAAATTCACTATCACTTATTTGTCTTAAAAGAACAAGTGAGTATTTAATAGGCATGACAATAATAAACCCAGAACTTGTATATTTGCTCAAACTAAATTAACTGTGTCTTTGCAATCAAAGTATATGGCAAGATGAATGTTTCAGCTCAGCAATTATTACCTTTTTAGTCTAACAGTTTTCAAACACAGAAGGGGGCACGTCTCTGCTCACATAGACTCCTTCAGTATGCGCATGCTGATCTGCAAACACTGTCTCCCACATCTGGATTCTAATCACCAAGTCAGTCCATTTCAAATTAGCCTATGTGACCATGTCTTCTTTTCATGTATTTTGCAGATGATGTCTTGAAAGAGGAACTGTAAATTAATGTAGTGTAATCTTGATAATATGAAGAGTCCCAAATACTTTTAAAAAGTGTTAATATTAGGAAAAACCAAACTACAGCAATCATCAGCTGTACTTCCCTAACAGTCAGTTGAGGTAACCTCTACATGTCACAGCTCCACACCTGCACACAGTTCTGACCCTTTTTCTGGCAGGGCTATGGTCAACAGACTCTGAAGATGTATCTCCAGAACCTGAATAGAAGAGAAAGAAAGGAGAGAGAGAGAAAAGACAACTTAGAATGAATTCTAAATTTCCTGTTGTTTTAAAGGTAGCTAGCAAGGATGCTTAAGACCATTTGGGGTGAGTTAACTCCCAAAGAAATGCTAGGCTTTCCCTCTGTACACACGAATGTGACTACAAAGAGACAATTAACTGCAGTCTGTCTTGAAAGGACAGTGTGTGCCAGTAAGACAGGTGGCTTATGTTAGCCCGTGTATGTGAGAACGAACTCCCAAAGTGATGACACATGCTTCCTGGGAAGGTCTAATACAGAGTCATTCTTTTCACACACTAAGAACATAGTGAGGCCAAGCAATAACAACATGGACAGGACTTGACATCATTCTCAGAAAAGCAAAATGTTCATACTGTACAATAACACAACTAGAGTTAAACTTTCTTTTTTTTATTGTTGGTACCGGGGATCGAACTCAGGTCCTTGGGCTTGCGAGGCAGGTGGCAGAACCACTGAGCTAAATGCCCGGCCCTAAACTTTCTTTTTAAAAGGCAACTTCAAGAAGTAATGGATTAAGTTTGTGATTTAAATCATATTTTCAATTTTCTGAACATACATCTCTAAAATATTATTTGTGTGTGTGTGTGTGTGTGTGTGTGTGTGTGTGTGTGTGGTGCTAGGTATAGAACCTAGGGCCTCACACGCTAGGTGAGCATTCTACCACAATTCTTCTTTAATACAAGTAGTATAATATTGAGAAAAGATGTTAGAAGAAATCAGCTTCCAAAATGGAAATCCTGAAAGACAGTCAGGTGGCAAAATGACTTAGAAGAAAGAGCGTTCCCTGACCAAGTCAGGCTATCAAATGACCTTGGGACATTAAGAAAGATCACGAACTTTTACAGCTTCAATTTCTCACCAGTCTGGTTTAGATGGTCATGATCTTTTTCTACTCTGATGTGATTCTTCATATTGAAACGAACACCAACAAAACTATTTTTGAAAAACTGTACCTTTCATTTGGTAATCAAAAGTTAGTTCTTCTCCAGCATATATGGTTCTTGTAGAAAACAATGCTATTCGGGGAAGACGAGTATCGAGGTTATCGATGAAAACATTGAACACCTGAAGATTTGGGTCACACTGAAAAGAAACATTGAGCCCACTTAAGTAAAAGTGACATGAATGAGCTCTTTTATGCGGCATATAAAATCTTAATTTCCCAGAGCATTCATTTAACTTTTAGAGGAAATTAAGTTGCTTATTATGACATGCACATTTAAAAACATCATTTTCATTTTAAAAAACATTAGACATATAAAAGTATAGAAAACAATATGATAAACCTGTGAGTATCCACCCTGCAACTTTAACAATTATTAACATACTCGCCAATTTTGTTCATCTAGTATCAACTTACTTTCCTGGAGAATTTTAATACAAATCTTTTTTTTTGGTACTGGGGATTGAACTCGGGTGCTTGCCCTTGTGCAGCAGGTGGCGAAACCACTGAGCTAAATCCCTGGCCCTTTAATACAAATCTTGTAACTATCATGTAATTATTTCAGTAAGGCATATACTTCAAAGAACTAGAATAGCTATGTTAAAAATCAAACCAGCACCATGAAACTCAAATTTTATACTGCATGGAGTTTCACTGCTTAAACTTTGTAGAATTGTTCAATATTTTGAGAACTCTACACTAAATTAGAGAATATGCAAGAAGAGAGATCTAGTAATCATACTAAGAAATCAAAATATGTTTTTGTTCTTGAAAAAAATCTATGTATTTTGGGAGTATAGTTGTGCCTCTGTATCTACAGGTTATACATCCATGGACTCAGATTCAACCAATCTCAGACTGAAAATATCTGGAGGGAAAAAAGTACTTCTGTACTGAGCATGTACAGACTCCTTCTCTTGTTATTCCCTAATCAACATAACAACTATTTCCATTGCATTAGATATAAGTAATGCAGAGATGTAAAGAAAGAACATGTAGATTACATGTAAATACTATGCCATTTTATAGAGGCACTTGAGTATCCAAGGATTTGGGTACCTGCAGGAGTCCTGAACCATTTCCTGGGATACTGCTGAGGAATGACTATCACAGGTACAGAAGGATGACTCTATTGCAAATTTATGATTAAGAATTCTTTTAAGCAAAAATTTAAGAAAATCAGAAAAATAACAAGGGAGTCATAATCTCTTTCACTGCTAATCACAGACCAGTTTTTTGGTATGCAATCCATCAGAAGTTTAACATGGTTACACCCTTATGAAGTCAGGGAGAGAAAATCTCTGAGAAACATTTTCCTTGTTACCTATAACACACCTGTAAGATGGAGACAGTATTACCCTCACTAGCCTCACACACCTGGCACTTAGCAGGCACCCAATAATCATGAACTTTTTTTGCAGTGCTAAGAACTGAACCACCCCCTCACACACGCTAGGCAAGCACTCTACTACTGAGCCCCACCCACGCTCCTTTACTTTCGGAAATAGTTTTTATGGAGTATAAGATTCTGGAGTTAAAACTGTAGTTATATTCTAACTTCCTTCAAACACAAAACTTCAGGAAAATTACTAAGAAAATTAGTTCTAAATACTTCCCATACTCTATAAATCCTTAAATTTTATAAATGTGTTAACATGCTTACATCTAAGACAATATCTTTATTTATATAAGACCTCCAGTGGATATCTGAAACCACAGATAGTACCAAACCCTACATATGCTAGGTTTTTTCTTACACATGTACGCTTATGATAAATTTATAAGTCAGGCATAGTAAGAGATTAACAATAACTAAAAATAAATAGAACAATTATATGTTACACTATAATAATTGTACAATTAAAAAGTAATTATAATAAAAGTTACGTAAATGTTCTCTTTCAAAATACTGTTTCACCTTTTCACTTAAAGGAAGCACTTTATGGTTTCTCTCTGCCATATCTAAATGGTCAGCATCAATATTTTTGTGATCTGGGGTGATCATTAAGTAAAGTAAGGGTTGCCTGAACACAAGTGCTATGACACTGCAACAGCTCATCTGAATGAAGCAGCTATTTAATGACAAGTACGCAAGAAGCATATTCAGTGACTAAGCAGGACAAAAGGGTGATTCATGTCCTGAGCAGGGTGATTAGGCAGTGTAAGATTTTTATCATGTTAATAATAATTCCTTGCAGTTTAAAACTTACAAATTCTTCTTCTGGAATTTTCCACTGCCTATTTTTGGACTACAGTTAATGGTAAATAACAAACTGTGGAAAGGGAAAAATGTGGGTAAGGGGAAACTACTGTACATTCTGAAATTTAGCTATATTAACTTCTATAAGACACTTACGGAGTTGCATGGGATTCTTAAACATTTTACTCCTTAACGCTTCTGCTTATTTTCTCCTGGGACATGAAGACATTTTATCTACCTTAAAAAGTTACTGCCAAGTTTAAATGAAGTAACATATGGAAGGATTCTTGTAAAACACCATATTTGGTAAGCATATAACTGGCTGTCTTCCTAACAGCAATAATATCAGGACTTAACAAATAAGGCCTATATTCTGAAATACTTGGGAAGGGTCTACAGTTCAAAGATAATTACTCTTCAATATGGAAAATCATTAAAAGTTGAATTATTTTGTAATCTATAATTTAAGTGTTCTTCTTACACTATGATTTACAAAATGAGACACATTTCCATATCGAGCTGCATCCACGGTGAATTCATCCGATTCAAAGTCCAGATCGAAGAGATAGGTGATTCCTTTGTTGTCATAAAACTGCCCCCGCCTTTCAGCTTCTTCACTTGTGATTACCTAAAGAAAGATAAAACTATAGTACATTATGTAGCTATTGCAGAACTGAAGAAACATTCATCCATGAATATACAAAGTGTGATCAAAATACACAGCTGAATGTTGAAAGCTGAAAACCCTAGTAAAGACACGTAGCCATCAAACCCTTCAAAATGCAGCCCTGCCTCAGTCCCAGCTACCCATCGCTTTTGGCATTTTTGGAAGTAGTTCTGGAAGCCCTCTTGGCTGTCTTTGTTTTGTTGTTTTTGAGACAGGGTCTCACTGTGTAGTCCAGGCTGGCCCTGACCTCACTATGTAGCTCAGGCTGGTCTTGAACTCATTGCGACCCTCGAGTTCTGGGATTACAGGTGTGTGCCACTCTGCCCAGCGCCATCCAATGGAAAGGCAATCTCATAAAAAATTACCCCCAAGAAAGGGCTACATACAGCTATAGGTCTGTACATAAATGAATGCAAAGGACTACAATTTACAAAACAAGAGAGAAGGTCATATTAAATTTTCTGTCAACTGTGTGGAAGTTTTATTTTGCAGAACAGGTATTTATAAAATTCTAAAGTTCAAAACCATCCCCTAGGAGCTAGGGATGTAATAGTGGCAAAGTGCTTGCCAGGCATGCACAAGGTCTGGGTTCGATACCTAGTATCACTGGCTGGCAAGGTGTGTGGGGCGAACAAGATGCAAACATCACTTACAGTTCTGCTCTTCACACAGCTTTTATCAAGAGATCAGCTCAAGAAACCAAAAATGTCTGAAGGGATTCATCTATCACCGTTTCATTAAGCCAGGAGAAGGAATGTGACTGAGTAAGACCTAGCTTTCTTTCTGAGATGCAGCTTCACTATCCTGTCCAGGTTAGTCGCACTCTTGAAGCTCCCTGCACCTCAGCCTCCCGAGCACTGGGATTACAAGCAGGTCCCTTTATACTCTGCTAAAATCTAGTTCCTGAGTGGCAATTTACAGTAACTTGCCACCGTCTAAAAATACAAGGATCAAAATAGGGATCTCAATTTCAGAATTCTAGATGAATACAAGCAAAGCAATTTCAAATAACTTAAACCAGTCGGGCCTGACAGCTGCAGATGCACAGCCACACTCCTCTCTCCAGTAACAGCCCAGTCCGAGGCAGTGTGGTACAGTGGAGTGCTTATTCTGGAATCTGGAATCCTGGCTCTTCTTACTACTGCTAAGTGCCTGTGTGACTCTGAGTAAGTTCCTCAATTTTTCTGCTCTTCAGTTTCTTCATCTACAATACCTGAGATAACACTACTACTGCAGAGTTATTGAGAGAATTAGTGAGTTGACACGACAAAGTGCTTACAATAGTATCTGGCATATGGTAAATACTGTTATGTTTATACATGATATGTATAAAAATAAATGGTTGCTCAGTATTTGGTAACTTAGTGGCTAAATTACGAGTTTGATTTTATTATGACTACAACAAATGCTTCTGTATATATTTTACAATACATAAAGCACTCATCTATAATATTTTACATGTTGACAGAAAAGAGACTTTTGCTAAATTTACCCATATTTGTACAAACAAAGGGACAGCGATTTAGCCCAGTGGTTCCGCTGCCTGCCTCGCAAGTGCAAGGTCCTGAGTTTGATCCTCGATACAAACAGAAACATAAACAAAAAAAACAAGAACATATTTGTACAAACAAGTAAGGTGCAACCTCCAAGTTTTGAAGTCTGCATGTGTTTTGATCTGATTTTCTTTTAGGACTTCTTTATAAAAATGATTTATATTTTGAAACTGATAAATGCTTGTTCAGTAACTGTGAGTGGGTATTTGTTGAAAAATGGCTATCAATTTTGTCAACATACATATTTTTTGTTTATACAGTGTTTACATTTCTAACTATGCCAGTGAAACCTACTCCTAAACCTGAAAATAAATTTTTACAATCTGAATATAACAATGTACCAGTATTTATGTTACTGAGGTAAAAGGTAACTTTTCAAAAATATAAACCTTACCTGCACATTATTTGCTACGTGATAAACCAAACGTACCTCTCCAACGTATTCCATGACAAAACTCATTCTTTTAATCTTCACAAGGGTCTTTACACCCCAGCCACAGCCATTGATAGTTCAAAAGATGCAAAGTGAATACTTTGTGCCTTTCTGTACAATCCTATTGGGACAGTCAGGTCCACATTGGCACCTTGAATTGCATTCGTAGATGGGAGTACCGGGTGGGATTTTAATTTGTTGGTTCTTATTATAAGCAAAGACAACTCCAGCTTCAGCAGGACAACATTTTTCAAAGAAGCAATCTGTGCACGAACAACCAAAGGTCACTTCATTGAATAAGCTGATTCCAGGAGCTGGTTTGTATTCATTAATGTAGTAGAAGTTTATAGGTGGGCCCTCTAAATCAACAGTATTTTCAACAAATATCATTCCTTTATGGTTCTTTCTTCTGTTGAGTTCATCTTGCCACTTCTGCAGAGCTATCCTTTGTTTAGCTTTCTTTACAATGTACTGAGCAATGGCAGGTCTCAAAGCTTTGTCATTGTCTTTTGGAATTATTGCTTTGCTTTGCTTTACCTGAGATAAATAATTATGCTTGTCATTAAAGAATTGCTGAAGCAGTAATGGACACTTGAGATTTTGCAAAGGTTCCCAAGTATTTGTAGAATCTGGCCATCCTTTCCATTTTACAAGGTAATATTCCATATCCTTAAAATACAAAAGAAAATGCAAATCAGATTATAACAATTCCAATTAAATGTTAACAATAAGCTACCCATTATCATTTTTCTTAATAATAGTTCAGAATATGCAGAGTGACAAGTTTCTAACAGATAAGATACAAGTCATACAAATGTCCTACAAGTATTTATCTGTGACCCAAGTTGGTGTTTTACTTGGCCAGCATTCTAAAGCCTACACTTTAGTACTGTCCACAGGACATGAGGGAACTTACATTTTTTAATGTCACAGGCACATATCCCCTTGGTATTCTGAAGACGCACTGTCCAATATAGTCACTGCTAGCCACATAAGAAACTGAAATGTAGCTAGTCAGAAGAAAGATGTGCTTTAAGTATAATGCAGACTAGAGAATCAGTACCAAAAAAAGTACAGTATCTCTAAAATTTTAATCTTTTTGAGGGTGGTACTGGGGATTGAACTCAGAAAACTGTCACATGCAAGTTAAACACTATTCTGAGCTACATCCTCAGCTCAGTATCTCTAAAAAAAAATACCAATTAAATGTTGACATACTTTGCATAGATTAGATTAAGCAGTTTCACCTGTTTCATTTTACTTTACTACGGTTGCATTATATTTCTATGGACAGCACTGTTACGGAGAAGGCTGACCTCATTTACACTCACTCATGACTGGGGTAGGTAGCAGGCACTCATGTCAAACAGCCAGTATCTTATCACTCAAGACTGCTGCTGGCCATCAGCAGCCTGGAATCCTGTCTTTTTACCCTAGTGACCTGACTATCTTCTTTCCTTAAAGTCAGGCAATGCCTTATTCACTAAGGTTCTCTTAAACAGGCAGTTAGAGCTGGACATGGTGGTGCATGCCCTTAATTCCAGCACTCTGGAGGCTGAGACAGGAGGACTGCAAGTTCAAGCCCGGCTTGGGCAATTTAGTGACTCAGTGAGACCTTGTCTAGAAAACAATGGGCTGGGTATGTAGCTCAGTGAAAAGGCCCTGGGTTCAATCCTCAGCACTGAAAAACAAAACCCAAAACACCAGCAATTAGGTATAATAAATTCTTACATTCACTTTCTTCATCCCCTAGAATATTTAACATATAGCCACATGCCCTAGGGCAAAATAAGCTCATAAAATGCTTCTGAAATACAAAGTGATTAAACTCTACTTGACAGATTTTAATTTTCATTTTAACTCATGAACACTGAAAAAATTGGGGATAAATTTGCTTTTCTCTGAAAATTTTACTGAAGACTTCAAAGTAAGGATGCATAGGACAATTGCTTTAATATCCATTTTTTCCTGGTGATGAGATTGAACTCAAGGCCTCAAGCACGCTAGCCAGGAGCTCAGGGACTGAGCTCTATCTCCAGTCTTTGTTTGTTTATAGATGACAAGTGACCTGAAAGGTACAGCCACGTAGCTTTTAGCACACTGCGGGGGCACAAATCGGGCCAGCAGTCACAGTGACACATCATGATGAGCTTATTTTATCCCGTCTGTACCTCCGTATGCACGTGTTTTCCTTTCTTTTGTTTCTTAGTACTGGGCATCCAATCCAGGGCCTCATGAATGCAAGGCAAGTGCTTTACCACTGAGCTACATGCCCAGCTCAAGTTCGTATCTGCATTTTAATGTTTTATTATATTCTACTCAACAAGCAGTACTTTTTACGAATTAAAAGAACTCTGCTTCGTTTTTGAAAACTGGTCAAAATATTTGTTTTTTGTATTACAAATATTTAAAATTGCTGGATGTGGTGGCACACACCCCTGTAATACCACCTACTTGGGAGGCTGAGGCAGGAGGACTGCAAATGTGAGGCCAGCCTGGGCCAAGTTAATGAGCTCCTTTCTCAAAAAAAAAAAAAAATCGACAAGAAATAAGGGAGGTGTAGATTAGTGCTGTTGCTAGGATGCATCAGGCCTTGGGTTCAATCCCTAGTACTGTCAAAACAAACAATTATGGTCTGAGAACATGCACAAAGACTGCCATTTCCATGAAATGCACACTGTTGCCCCCACGCACCGCCCCAAGCCTAGATGTACACTGAAATATGTGTCAATTGAGCCTGAAGTCGAAAGAGTTCTCTTTCCTGTCAGCGGACAGTTGGCGACTGTTGTTAGCAGGTACCTCTCTGCACTAAAGCAGGTATGAGACCCACCTGGCAGTATCTAGTGTACCTAGTTCCCTCAATTCGGATTTCTGATGCCAGAATAAAGCAATGTAACCTGTCATTTTTTCTCCCCTGCTACAGTGAGTGTTTCCTGCCACAGCCCTGAATTATGCCAAATGTTGCTAGAGAACAAAGAAACAGAAACACCAGCTTTATGTTAGATGATTATCACCAGCACAACTAAAAACGGAAGTATGTCACCGAATTCAATTCAGAACAACTTGTGTTGTTTAATCTTGGATCATTCAATTGTATTTTAAGTGGCTAGGTATTATATGTTAATCACATTGGTACCTACTTAATTTATGGATGGTAACTAGTTAGAAAATATGAATGCCTTTGGCAAAATGTATACAAATATCAGCAATATTTTATTTCTGGTTTGTAGACTTGCATTTTATAACCATATTTTATTTAAAATTCAAAAATATTTTTCTATTTTGAAAAGCACGTTTATACACACATACAAAATCACTGACTCATGAAATAAATTTAATTTAAAAACCTAAAATTTCAGCCTGGTGTGGTGGCGAATGCCTGTAATCCCAGCACTTGGGAGGCTGAGGTACGAGTATTGCTGCAAATTCAAGGCCAACCTGGACTACATAGGGAGTTCAAGGCCAGCTGGAACTATATAGCAAGACCCTGTCTCAAAACACAAATCAAAAAAACCTAACACCCTGCCCCCCAAAAGAACCCCTAAAATTTCAAATGAAAAAGCTCATAGACTTACATATCACTATCTTTTTCTTCTTCAAAGACATTCTCACCCACTACGTCTGACATCAGTTAAATTCATTAAGATATTTTAGTATCTATAATAAGTACATGAGTGGTCACTGGAAGGCATGATGAGGTGTTCCAGGCCTTTAGGAATAAAACTCTTTGGAAAAGGAGGCAATAATGTGGAACAAATAGGAAGGCAAGGCAATATAATTTTAAATGTTGAAATAAATAAGACAGTACCACTAGAGTATAAAGAAGGAAACAACACAGGTCAGATCATCAGAAAGTGAACAGAGAAAGTAGAGCTGCGAAGGACTGAATTTGTTGGGAAGGGAACATGACAGGGAGGATGAGAAGCACAAGCAAAAACTTGAAGCTAAGATTGCATTAAAGTATCCAGAAACAGCTAAGAGATGGATTTATCTAGTTTTAAAGTTTAGAATGCTAAATCAAGACAAAACGGTAATGTTAAGGCAAGAGCAAATTCCAGACACCTCTGAACACTTGGCTGGGGTATCTGAACCTTACTGTGGGCCACTGACTCTTCCATTTCTTAGAAACCATGTGTTTCTGGGGGAGCTTTATTAAATAAAATACATTTACCTCCACCTTGCTAATCAGGAATGATTTTACTAGTTTCTAAATGCCAAATCAATAAATTCTTTGGTCTAATCTGACCTTTGCCTGACCAGTCCTCAGGGCTCCACTACCATGATTTTCTCTTCCTTCTTGTTCCTTTTCTATTTTTTTGCCGAGTGCTTCCTGTCATTTAAACAATCCAGATACTCAGGACTTTGTCCTCCACCCCTCTTCATACTAAATAAGCACTTACCCCGTTAGAGAATCTGATGGAGCTATGAATCTTACCTTAACAAACATCGCTTATATAACATTTTGAGTTACTGTGGAACATTTACATTTTAGGTTAAGAATCCTGCTCTACATGGCTGGCTCTCTGTGGGCAACCACAATACTCCAGTAGTTTAAACTATTCCTTAGATGCTGATGATTCCCCAAACTATATGCAATCTCAAATGTATACTATCCAGTAGCCTAGATGATGTCCAATAGGTTCCTGAGGCAATCTATCCACTAGTAAATACCACTGTCCTCCCTAAAATGATTTTTTTCTGTATGCGTCATCATGGTAAATCTTACCCATCTATCTACTCACAGAAGCTGAAGACCAAGAAAACAATCTCAATTCTTTCTCCTCAATCTAACGTTCAGAAGGCTTCTTTAGAGATGGGCTTCTTGTCTAAACACTCATCTGCCCTTCTTATAATTAAAAAATCCACAGAACCACTTATCCTTCTGCTTTCTTGCTTGAAAATTATTAATTCCCCCATTGCATATAGAATAAAGCCTAAATTTAGCACTACAACAAAAGAAAGTCATTCTTAAATTGATTGTTTATGCCTCTCTGGCTCAACTTTCCATCACAGCCCCATTCATACACTGCCCTCCTGCCATACTGAACTAGTACTGGAACACGTCACTTTTCTTCATACCCTTTTGCTGCTTTGTTCTCAAAGTTCTCCCTAATTAGAATGTTTTCTATCATTTGCCTCCTAAACACTTAGTTGTCTTTTTTTTTTTTTTTGCATGTAAGAGAAAACATACTCATTTTTTTCTAATCACCTTTTGAAAGAGCTCAAACATCACTTCCTCTATGTAACATCTTCTGCCCAAGATGAAATGATCACTGCCAATTTCCTTCTGTTCCAACTTCTAATTTAAACTATAAGCTACTTGTAAGAAGGGATGGAATTTTATTCTTCACAGCTCCAGAATAAGCAGAACTGCCCATCATTTCAAGCTTTGAGTAAATGTTTCTAAATACATAACCAAAAATGCAACTTCCAGCATATATGTGGTATGAAAGTAACTAACTATATGAATTCTTTTTGTTTTGGTACCAGGGATTGAACTCGAGACCTTGCACTTGCGAGGCAGGCAGCGGAACCACTAAGCTAAATCCCCAGCCCTAACTATATGTATTCTTAAAAGTATACAACCCATTAATCTCAACCTGGAGATTGCAATTCATGGTTTGTCAATATTTGTTTTGTCATCTGTTCACTGTCTATAGATGTGGGAG